TCGTCCAGAATGAAGTGCAAACATCAAACCCTATCGGGTAAAAATTCATCCACCTCCCTTCAACTGTTCTCCCTTCAGAGCCACACGTATATATACACACACACACACACACACACACACACACACACTTTTATCCGTATCAGTAAAACCATTAACAGCTCATTACGCTGTAAATGCATCCACACGTTGGCTTACTGTGCCGCTGAAACGATTACTCTTTCATTAAATGAAGCACACTGTGCGTGTGTGTGTGTGTGTGTGTGTGTGTGTGTGTGTGTGTGTGTGTGTGTGAAGGTTGATACACCTCAACTTGTTTACAGCAGAAAACCGGAGGCCTGTTCTTTTGTATGTTTTAGGACATCGATGAAACGCTGCATTGTGTTTTCTCTCGTTTCTTAGAATGTTATTTCTCTCCCTGCAGGATAAAGTGACAGATGAGGTGCTTGATTGAGGCTTGTTGCAGTTCACGTTAACGTTGTTTTTACACAAGTCAGACATTTCTAAGATGAACGATCTATGAATGAAAGTTCAACAGTGGATGATGTGCACGTGGCATCAAGGTGCTTACAACATCAGATCTGAGTGGAGCGACTGTAACCCTGTCTACACATTCGGGTGCGTTCTTCATGTCGAGTCATAAATGCCAGTAATGTCTTATACACAGAATTCACTTGTGGGCGAACCCAGTATATTGTAAATATACAAAAGCAAGATGGTGAAATGATGTGAGGCCGTCTAAGAATACTGGGAACAGTAATGTTAGAAGGCATCCGCATTTAAATAAGTCAAACTCCATATCGGTTTACATTAATTATGCTAATGCGTTAGAGGGTTGTTTGAAAGGCCGTCACTGTGTGAACTTGGAGACATCCAGGCGAGTTTTAGAAACGTATGTAAACCGGTGCTTCTTGCTACTTTCATAAGACAAGAACACTCGGCTACCGATATATTGTAGAATAATTAGATGACAGAGCAGCCTCAAAATACTTGCATTTAACATCACCATAGCAACATATTGTCATGCAGGATTTGTTTTGAAGCTCGACTTTTTCTCTGAATGGCAGCGTGCGTGCGTGCGTGCGTGAGCCTGTGTCTCCGTTAATCTCACTCGCTGGTTCTCCGCTGTGTCTCGCCCCGTCGCTCACTCTACATTTGTCATCATTATCTCTCTCTCTACCTCTTATCTCCTCCTCCTCCCTGCCTCTTTTTCTCTCTCAGAAAAGAAATTACCGTGTGGATATGATCATGATTTACATTTATTTTGTGGTACGTGGATTAGAAGCTCATTAAAATGAATAAATATGTTTATTATTATTATTATTATAATGAATATACATATGTATAAAATAAAGGAAAACTTTGAAAGTCCATCTCCTCTTAATGTGAAAAAATGTATGTTTATCTATACTGATATGGACCGTTTAATGTCACAAAAAGAATGCCACATCTTTTGTTTGAGCCTACAGAGGGTTTCATTTGATGGACAAAAAGAAATGTTGCAGGCTAGTCCATTTTGCCTTGAGAAATGGCCTCATGCTCCCTGTGATGATGACTAGCCGACACTAGTGGAAACCCAGTGAGATCATTGGCCTCCACATGCAAAACCAGTCGTGCTTTGGCGTTTGTCTCATTGTTGCCCCTCTAGTGCGTCTGTCGTTAATTCCATCAACACCAGTGCGGCTGAAACTGATCAACTCTGTTCACTGTTAATACTTGAAGTGCACCTCCTTCATATGTATTTATTACATTTACACTGCAGTGCTTTTTCTTGTAATACTTGTCATTTTTTGGGCTATTACGATACACACGTCACAACACAATATACAGCATATTACATTACAGGTCATTTGTGGACTGATTAGGAATAGCAGCTGCTTTTATTGAAACGCTATTCGTCTATCTGTAATTCCTCCGGTGGGCTGAGCTGGACCGTCACTGATGGCTCCTAACTGTAATGTGGCAGGAACTATAAAGGATATTTTAAATCTGTGTAAACCAGGATGTATCAAACCACTATCGCTTAGACGAACATGCTAATGGTCAGCTTACTCAATGTTTTTGCACAGCCTGAGTACTTTTTCAGTGTGGTATTAGTACCGTAACTAAGGGGCAACATGTCGTGAAACATCTTGCCCATGAACTCAGGAATAAGACTAGAACACGTGGGATTCAACAAGCCAATCAGAACTCCATGAACTCAGAATACACACCGTCCCTCCATCTGAGTCCCCGAGTCCCACTCGAGAAATACCTTTTCAAAAGAGGCTCCATATTCCTTCTTTAATCCTGGCAGAGCTATTATTCATTTTGATGGAGCTTTTGGATGCAGGTTTTTTTGGACAGCGCATAAAGATGTTCAAGTTAAAAACCTAAAATACAACAATGAACCTGAACATGAACAGGATGCGTTAATATGAAAACTGCTGAACACTAAACCACATCCTGTCCCCAGCGTTCATCTGTCCTCTAACGTTTACTGTCCCAACAAAGATGGAGCCATTTAGATGTGAAGACAGACAATAGAAATCTACATTTTCAAAGTAAAAGCTGTGAATGAGGCTGCTGAGGAGTTTTGCTTTACAAAGAAGAAGCACTCCTGCCAAGATGATTTTCTTTATTCAGCCACTAAACCGCTTTGACCTTTAAATCCCAGATGTGAAGTGACAAAACACACAATGTCCTTATCCTCAGAGCAGCAGCTGTCCGGGAACAAAGTCACCTCAGCTGCAGCTTTTTTATTTTCAGGAAAAGGTCAAATCCATGTGATCGCTCAACAAAGTTTGACTTCAGTATTCATCTTTGCCGTGTTTTAGTGTATGTATTTTGTTATCCATCGGACATCAATGATGTTTTAAATCTCAGTTTATATATTTCACTCAGGTGTGTGTGGTTTATTTCACGGGCTGTTAAGCAGCATTTAGTTTGCCACCAAATCAAATGGGACACTTGTCTCCTCGTCTCCCGCTGAGGCTCTTATTCATCTCTTCCATTTGCTGCCTCCCCCTTCTCTGTCTTATGTCATTACTCGTGCCTTTTAACACTCCCCCCCCTTCCCCCCCCCATCTCTTTTCAGCCAATGCAAGAGCAAGATGTTTGTAGAATTACAGTTTTGATTTTGTGAGGATTAAATGTGCTTCCGCTTCCGCGCCAGTTTCTGATTCATTGAACAATGGTTGATATTAGGTGTTAATATTTATATTAGATGGATGTAGGAATTGTTGATCTGTCCTTGTGCAAGATGCTTAATCCCAAATGGCTCAGGTTGCTGCGCCTACGTTGTGTGAATGTTAGTCACTGTGTGGTAGCTGCTGTCATCACTGTGAATGATGGCGTGAAGTGTTAAAGCGCTTTGAATGGTCAGAAGACTAGAAAAGATCCATTTACCTTATAGGACATCAGTTATATGACATTTCCAGACCTGTTTAAGTTTGAACAGTTTCTCCAAAGGTTTACACTTGAATTGTAGTCATGCTGTACATAAGTTGCTCTTTGGATAGGTTATTTGAAAAGATTAATAACAATTCATTATGAATTATTCATATGTATTTAACGTGGATATAAACACCAGGCTTGTGTGATGTAAAAAAATGAACCAAAGACTAATCACATCCAATTTTTTCCTATAACGTAAACTATTCACTTGGGAAAAAAAAAAAACTTTTAGGAGGAAATAAAAAAAACTTACAATGATCTGGTTGCATGAATATGCACACCTTAAACCAATACTGAAGCACCTTTTGATTTGATGACAGCACTCAGTGTTTTTGGGTTGGAGTCCATAAGCATGGCACATCTGGGCTCACTCCTCGTTGCCAAAGTGCTCCAAATGTGTCAGATTGCGAGGGTCATCTTCAGATCACCCCTCAGGTGTTCTGTTGGGTTCGGGTCTGGGCTCCACAACTTTACACTTCTTCTGCTGAAGCCGTGCTTTTGTTGACTTGGATGTGTGCTTTGGCTTGCTGTCGTGCTAAAAGGTGAAAGTTTTTATCTTTGGCTTTCTAACCGAAGTCTGACTGGTATTTGGAGCTGTTCATAATCCCCTCACCGTATGACGTCGCCCGACCCCCCATGCTTCACTGTCGGTATGATGTCGCCCGACCCCCCCACCCCATGCTTCACTGTCGTTAGGATGTCGCCCGACCCCCCCATGCTTCACTGTCGGTATGATGTCGCCCGACCCCCCCATGCTTCACTGTCGGTATGATGTCGCCCGACCCCCCCATGCTTCACTGTCGGTATGATGTCGCCCGACCCCCCCATGCTTCACTGTCGGTATGATGTCGCCCGACCCCCCCATGCTTCACTGTCTGTATGATGTCGCTCGACCCCCCCATGCTTCACTGTCGGTATGATGTCGCCCGACCCCCCCATGCTTCACTGTCGGTATGATGTCGCCCGACCCCCCCATGCTTCACTGTCGGTATGATGTCGCCCGACCCCCCCATGCTTCACTGTCTGTATGATGTCGCTCGACCCCCCCATGCTTCACTGTCGGTATGATGTCGCCCGACCCCCCCATGCTTCACTGCTAATGTCGCTGTCCTGCCATATCTTCTCCACTTGATGATGACTGTCTTCACTGTGGTCCTTGGAATATCTAATGTCTCAGACATTCTTTTGTAACCTTCTCTTGACTGATGCTTTTCAACGATGAGATCTCTCTGATGGCTTTTGCTGTAAGATGCAACAAAGAAAATGTCAGAAAGATCCTACTAGAACATCTGATCTTCATTAGAAATGACTCCACATCGTCATTTATAAGAGGGTGTGCACTTATGCCACATTATTATTTTAGTTTTAAAGTCATTGGACATACATTATTTGAATAATTGATTCAGTACATGTATGTATTTATATCTGCCTGCAGTTGCTTTACACATGTGAGGACGATCCCAGCGATGTCTACGCCGTCATCTTCTTACCTCAGAATCAGATGCAGGAAGTTCTGGCTTTTCTCCTGCTTTGTGTTCATCTGACTCCTTCCCCTCGTCCTCCTGCAGAGCGATGGTGTGAGCGTTATGGCGACCTCCAGGGAGAACTGCTGTGCGTGGAGCTGGAGAAGGAGCGGCAGGGTTTGGGAGTCAGCCTGGCGGGAAACCGCGATCGCTCCCGCCTCAGCATCTTCGTGGTGGGACTCAATCCTGGAGGGCCGGCGGCTCGAGATGGACGGATCCAAGTCGGAGACGAGCTGCTGGAGGTGAGAACCATCAGTTCAGCAGATCCCCTGAAAGCGGACACAGGACGTCCTGTTCCCCACAGAATAAATGCGCTCACACAGTTCATTCTTTCATAAGAGGAATATGCCAACAACTATTGGAAGGATTGGGATGAACATTCATGTTCCCCTCGGGACGAATCCATTGAGCACCATTATCCAGTCAACATTTGAATGTGTCCAACACTTTGGTTCATGGCTGCAATGCTACCATGCTAACACGCCGTGGTGAGTATGTTAGCATCGTGTAGCATCATACATAGAAAGGACAGCCTCACCCACGATGCAGGTCCCTGTTTTGTTCTTAAGACTCGTCTTGAACATGAAACAGTCACGCGTTGGTCATGATGATAATGATGAACATGAATTCTGGCCGTATCGCAAAGTCACAGCGACACCATCTTGCTCTCGAATCATTCTCATGTTATTGCATCACGTACGTGTGTGGGGGGGGGGGGTTCCAATTTATTTCTATAAATATTGAACAGAGATCCGCTATCGCTCACTTACTCGGCCTCCTCCTCAAAGAGAGCTGTCACAGGTGCCATGAAAAATTGCTGCTCAGCCGAGGGAAGCCCGGACAATTACACAATAAAACACACACTACACAGATGGTTGCATAGCTGAAAGGCGTCCGTGCAAACATTAATTTACCGTAATCCAAAGGTGTGCGTGTGCTGAATAGATGAGATATTGATGAACATGTGCAGTAGATCCTAACTCGCTGTAGGTGTACGGCCTCTGTAACCTCTCCATTCATCTCAATCATTTGTGTGTGTGTGTGTGTGTGTGTGTGTGTGTGTGTGTGTTTGTGTGCATTGACCTTGGATGTGTTTAAATGGAGAACGACTGTCTGCGTGGTCAGATAATCCATCCATCCATCCATCCATCCATCCATCCATCTTCAACCGCTTATCCGGGGTCGGGTCGCGGGGGCAACAGCTCCAGCAGGGGACCCCAAACTTCCCTTTCCCGGGCCACATCTACCAGCTCTGACTGGGGGATCCCAAGGCGTTCCCAGGCCAGTGCAGAGATATAATCTCTCCACCTAGTCCTGGGTCTTCCCCGGGGCCTCTTCCCAGCTGGCCGTGCCTGAAACACCTCCCTAGGGAGGCGCCCAGGGGGCATCCTCACCAGATGCCCAAACCACCTCAACTGGCTCCTTTCGACGCAAAGGAGCAGCGGCTCTACTCCGAGCTCCTCGCGAATGGCTGAGCTTCTCACCCTATCCCTAAGGGAGACGCCAGCCACTCTCCTGAGGAAACCCATTTCGGCCGCTTGTACCCGTGACCTAGTTCTTTCGGTCATGACCCATCCTTCATGACCATAGGTGAGGGTAGGAACGAAGATTGACCGGTAGATCGAGAGCTTTGCCTTCCGGCTCAGCTCTCTTTTCGTCACAACGGTGCGGTAAAGCGAGTGCAATACCGCCCCCGCTGCTCCGATTCTCCGGCCAAACTCACACTCCATCTTCCCCTCACTCGTGAACAAGACCCCGAGGTACTTGAACTCCTTCACTTGGGGTAAGGACACATTCCCTACCTGGAGTAGGCAATCCATCGGTTTCCTGCTGAGAACCATGGCCTCAGATTTAGAGGTGCTAATCCTCATCCCGACCGCTTCACACTCGACTGCGAAACGCTCCAGTGAGAGTTGGAGGTCACAGACGGAAGATGCCATCAGGACCACATCATCTGCAAAAAGCAGCGATGAGATCCGCAGCCCCCCGAACTGTAGACCCTCCTCCCCCCGACTACGCCTCGATATCCTGTCCATGAAGACCACAAACAAGATTGGTGACAAGGCGCAGCCCTGGCGAAGGCCAACCCCCACCGGAAACGCCTTCGACTTACTGCCGAGCACCCGAACACAGCTCTCGCTTTGGGCGTACAAGGATTGGATGGCCCCAAGCAAGGACCCCCTCACCCCGTACTCCCGCAGCACCTCCCGCAGTATCTCTCGGGGGACCCGGTCATACGCCTTCTCCAAGTCCACAAAACACATGTAGACTGGTTGAGCATACTCCCAAGCCCCCTCTATGATCCTGGAAAGAGTGAAGAGCTGGTCCGTTGTTCCACGACCAGGACGAAAACCGCATTGTTCCTCTTCAATCCTTGGTTCGACTATCGGCCGAAGCCTCCTTTCCAGCACCTTAGAGTAGACTTTACCCGGGAGGCTGAGTAGTGTGAAACCCCTGTAATTGGCACACACTCTCTGGTCCCCCTTTTTGAAGAGGGGTACCACCACCCCGATCTGCCACTCTTTTGGCACTGTCCCAGACTTCCACGCAATGTTGAAGAGGCGTGTCATCCAAGACAACCCCCCAACACCCATTGCTTTTAGCATCTCTGGACGGATCTCATCAATCCCCGGGGCTTTGCCACTGCGGAGTTGTTTGACTACCTCAGTGACTTCCACCAGGCTAATTGACGATGATCCCTCCTCCGCCTCCAGCTCCGCCTCCACCAAAGAGGGCATAGTAGTTGGGTTCAGGAGTTCCTCAAAGTGTTCCTTCCACCGCCCGATAACCTCCTCAGTCGCGGCCAACAGGGTCCCATCCTTACTGTACACAGCTTGGATGGTTCCCCGTTTCCCCCTCCTGAGGTGCCGGATGGTCTTCCAAAAACACTTTGGTGTCGACCGAAAGTCCTTCTCCATAGTTACCCCGAACTCCTCCCATACTCGCTGCTTTGCCTCCATCACGGCAGAGGCTGCTGCCCTTCGAGCCTGTCGGTACACTGCAACTGCCTCTGGAGTCCCACCGGATATCATAACCCGGAAGGCCTCCTTCTTCAGTCGGACGGCTTCCCTGACCACCGGTGTCCACCACGGAGTTCGAGGGTTACCGCCCCTTGATGCACCTAAGACCTTGAGGCCACAACTCACCGCCGCGGCTTCAGCAATGGAGGTTTTGAACATAGACCACTCTGGTTCAATGTCCCCTACCTCCACAGGAATGTGAGAGAAGCTCCGCCGAAGGTGTGAGTTGAAAATCTTTTGGACCGGGGCCTCCTCCAGACGTTCCCAGTTCACCCTCACTACACGCTTGGGTTTACCGGGTCTGTCCCGAGTCTTCCCCCATCCTCTGACCCAGCTCACAACCAGATGGTGATCAGTTGACAGCTCTGCCCCTCTCTTTACCCGAGTGTCCAGAACATGCGGCCTCAGATCAGACGATACGATTACAAAATTGATCATTGATCTTTGGCCTAGGGTGCTCTGGTACCACGTACACTTATGAACATCCTTATGTTCGAACATGGTGTTTGTTATGGACAATCCGTGACTAGCACAGAAGTCCAGTAACAAACACCCGCTCGGGTTCAGATCAGGGAGGCCATTCCTCCCAATCACGCCTCTCCAGTTATCTCCATCGTCGCCCACGTGCGCATTGAAGTCTCCCAGTAGGACTATGGAGTCCCCTACAGGAGCCCCATGCAGGACTCTATTCAGGGTCTCCAAAAAGGCTGAATACTCTGAGCTGCTGTTTGGTGCATATGCACAGACAACAGTCAGAGTTTTCCCCCCCACCACCCGAAGGCGTAGGGAGGCGACCCTTTTGTCCACTGGGGTAAACTCCAATGTAGCAGCACTCAGCCGGGGACTTATGAGTATCCCCACACCCGCCTGGCGCCTCACACCATGGGCCACTCCGGAGTAGAATAGAGTCCACCCCCTATCCAGGAGTTTGGTTCCAGAGCCGAGGCTGTGCGTAGAGGTAAGCCCCACCAGTTCCAACTGATAACGCTCCACCTCCCGCACAAGCTCCGGCTCCTTCCCCCCCAGAGAGGTTACGTTCCACGTCCCCAGAGCCAGCATCTGCCGCCCAGGTCTGTTCCGTCTAGACCCCCCACTGTCACTGCCACCCTTGTAGCAGCGCACCCGACCCCATCGGTTTCCTCCACAGGTGGTGAGCCCATGGGGAGTAGAGTGTTGGGCTGCCGCGTCACTCCTTTGGGCTGTGCCCGGCCGGGCTCCGCGGTAAACCCGGCCACCAGACGCTCGCTGTCGGGCCCTCCATCTGGGCCTGGCTCCAAATGGGGGCCCCGGGCTTCCTCCGGGCCGGGTAACTCCTTCCCTCTTCCGTTTTTTCATGGGGGTCTTGAACCATTCTTAGTCTGGCCCCTCGCCTGAGACCACTTTGCCAAGGGTAACCCTACCAGGAGCACAAGGCTCCCGACAACACAGCGCTCAGGTTCATAGGGACACACAAACCTCTCCACCACGATAAGGTGACGGTTCCCAGAGAGGGGTCAGATAATGTAATAATTAATATTATTATTATATTATTATAATTATTACATTATTATATTATTATTATTATAATAAGAAATAATTATATTATTAATTATAACATTAATTATTACAGATAATGTAATAATTAATGTTATAATTAATAATATAATTATTTCTTATTATAATAATTGATACATATTAGTAACATATTTCACGTATTTGTATTGTTATCACTTATAAAAACCGTACAGTAATATTTTTTGAATGTGTGTGTTGACTTTTCCAAACCCCGTTGAATAAACATACATAACCCTCTTCACCCTCAGAGATCATAATGGGATCACATTTCTTCCTGTTTTTGATTGCTTGTGATGTGATGAACCAGAATTTATCTTTATTTTCACAGAAATGATGTAAGATATCTCTGTTTTCATGCCAGATTAACAACCAGATTCTTTATGGGCGGAGTCACCAGAACGCCTCGGCCATCATTAAGAGCGCCGTCCCCAAGGTGAAACTCATCCTGCTCAGGTAGGCCTTTTATTTCTTCATAAACATTGTTTTTAACAAAACTAATAATTGTTTCCATACATACAAACTGCTACCTGGTCAATCCATAATACATAGTAACACATTTTGAACTGTCATATAGAACAATGTAAAAAGAAAAAGTCTCTTAAATAAACTGTTTAAGCTGTTAATAAAGTTTATTATGTTTTGAAATGGGAGTTAAATTTAGCGTGATAATGTCTCCCTATAAGGGAGCTGTTGTTGTTTTGCCCACGAACGTGAAGTCTTCACTGTTCTAGGTATCTGTAAGCTACTTGCTAACTTTGATCATTATTAAAGCCTGTCTGTGGGCCGAGCCGCTGCCGTAGCGGCAGCTATAAGCCAACCAAACGTGCATCAGAATCTGAGGGACAAAGCAGCCACCAAGGCTCATGTGGCACTCGGAACCGCTTTGCCTCGGAGACCATCAGACGTAATAAAGCAGCTGTAGATATACAGACACTAATCAGACGGGTAAAGGTGCGGTTGAGGGATGTTGCTTCTTTAGGAACCCAGGGAGTTCAGAGTCACTGAGTGTTTTCGGAGCGGTGTGGAGGGAGTGATGTGTTCAGGGAGACGAGACGGACGTGAAGTGTTTTTCAACTCTCTTGTCTTGAAAATGCCGGCGGATCCGCCGCCATCACAATGAATCCACGCGCAGGCCGAGCCGACCGGGCAAATTCTTCATATTACGTGGTCGGGCATTTCCTTTCCTTGGACGTTTATATGGTTCACTGATTCGTGCAGAGAGCTGCAGGAGAATCTTCATTCCCTCTGTGACTTCGCTGCCATTTATCTCTGTGATTCTCTGGATTTGATCAAAGGAAACTGTATTGATCCCCGTGCTTAAAGTGGGTCACGGCAGCAGCAGAGACGAGAGTGTAAGACCAGAATAGAACAAATCAGAGTGCCGGAAACAGGTAAAATCACTGCTCCCTGAAGAAGCTTGCCAAGTATCCTGATGCAGCAGCAGCTGTACGCCTCCTGGAGGAAAGGAGCTTCTTCTCTTGCATATGCATATGAAGAATCTGGTGATCTGACTGAGACATCTCAGCCCAGTTTCATGACGGGGTCCCGGAGTATCCACAGAACCTCTGGCTTGCCTGCACAGGGATGCAAATTCCTTTTCGACAAAGGGAACAACAAAAGCACAACAAAAAGATGCGGAATGTTCCATATCCACGTCCACGAAGCCAATCGATTGCACTTTGTGACTATTTCACAAAGTGGCACGAGACTGTGTTGAATGTTTGAATGAAATCCCGATACGTCTCAACCGAATTATTATGTATATTAAGCATATCAGGAGATTGTCACACCTGGTGCAGAGTGGTTGAAACAGAGCAGCAGCAGCAGCAGATGAATGAGTAGAAATACAATTGTACTGACCAATGTGGAGCCTAATGAGAATTAACTTTGGACACAATGCGATCGTGTAACAGCTGGACGTGTCAGCAAGCAGCGGTGAAACAATAATTCTTCAGTGTCCGTGTAGTTTTCTCTCACCTGGTAGACACAAGCTATAATCTACGGTTGTAAAGGAGAAGATGTTCCCGAAGGGCTGATCAGTGGCTGGGAAGATTTCCCGTTAGCTGCAGTCTGGTCTGACTCATAAGAGAACAGACCACGGCCCCCCGGGAGCTTCAAAGTCCCATTTGAAACGGCAGGGGACAGTCCTTCATGTCTGAGACGGCAGAGAGGAGCTGAGGATGGGGATTAAGCCCTTCCTCCTCCTCCTCCTCCTCCTCCTCCTCCTCGGCAGAACCGCTCATTCCCGCTGCCGGGATTGATTCGCGGTGTTTGAAGCGACCAGGCGTGGAGTATTTCACAGAGGTCTCATGAGGACTCCTTTTAGCCTTCATGTCAGACAGGATTTAAAGTGCAGGTCGGCCTGGACTCTGCAGCCGGGAGGATAATCACACTCAAGTTCATCGCTCTCCATCGCTGCTTCTTTCTGTGGAAAAGATGCTGTTGGTGGAGAATTTCAGTCGAGGATCATTTGGCTGCTCAGAAACTCATAGAAATCAATGTGACTTTTTATCTCCAGTGAATATCCAAAATAAATAACCATAAATAACGATAAAAAAAGATACTGCTGAAAATGAAAGGAGCAAGTTTTCTTTAGTAGTATAAGTGAAAGCTGTCTGCACACAGCAGCTGCTAATTGCTCTAATGAGATGGGTGGGCTGCTGTAGGAATTCATCAGACAATATAGCAATATGCAACGATACCAAAGGTAAAACTATTGAACGTAACAAACTCATTTAGCACAATGATTCAGTGGGGAAACGTGGGCCGTCGCCCCTCGGACACTCTGGTCATTTGCTGTTCGGACTCCACTCTGCCTGCGCAAAATGTGAATAAATGTATTATTCAGTCGCCTGTTAATGGACATGTGATAAGAATTGTGAGCTATTTTTGGAGCTGGCGTTGCTTTCATTGCAAAAGAGCCTCAATCAATCTCTTGTATTTGAGGTCAAACACATGATGTACTGTGCAAAGTATATATTTCCTCTCGTGCCACCTTTAGGACAAACTCACATTTTTTCACTTAAGAAAGGATAAATCTCCAGGATATTATCTGCCTGTAATGAACCGCAGCCTCCGTGAACTGAATATTTAAATCCCGCATCCTCAGACTGACACATGGAGATGGATGAGTGTCAAGTCAGGGCCCCGTCACTCTGGCTGATGCGTCTGTTTGCTGCGCTCAGGCTCATGAGACGCCGGCATGTCAACACAAGACATAAATCCCTGCCTCGAAAAGTCACCGCCGCGTCTGATACCGAGCGGCTCGCTGGATGTCGAATCTGCGCTCATTTTCACATGTTGACGTTGAACCTCCAAATGGATTTTGAGGCTCAGCAGCTCCAGTGTTATTTAGTCGTGGTCATGTGATGTCGGAGTCGGCTCGTGTTTCGTTTGGCAGATGTGCGAGCGGCTTCGGTGGCGCGTGTCACTTAATGGGAAAACGTCCCCCGGGACACAAGCCCACGGTGTCCACACCTTACTGAACACATTCGATCAGAAAACACCACTCGTACACGCTTCTTTCTAAATGCCACCGTTAACGCTTCAACGGGCGGAACGCGTCCGCTCTGACACCTGCATTGTACATATTTATAGGTGTCTTCTTCAGCAGACAGCTTTTTGTGTTGGCTCCCAGAATTCACCACACCGCTTTGACCATGATGTGTTATTTCTCGCTCTGATTGAATGCGGTCGGCGTGCGGGGAGCAGGAGGACGCCGGCGCTCTAACGCGTTCAGCCAGGTGACAAAATCTCGTTTAAATGACGTGTCCACGGGCCGCCGCTGAAGCATTTGTCTCTGGGTAAAGGTCGCCACTGCAATGAGCACCGGGGTGTCGACGTGGGCAGGAGTGCATCGCCATGGAAACAGAAGCGGTCACCCTGCCGGCGCGGCCCACGTTTGACTTACTGTGTCACAACAGCGATGAAGTAGTCTGGTTTCAAAAGCAGCCAAACGATCCCTTCAGTGGAGAAAACTAAAGTGAGTGAGTTTGTGTTTTTAAAAGGGTTAACATCATAGGCGGGCGGTGTGACAGCACGCGCTCACGGGCTGCTGTGACAGGGTCTGTTTCTGTCAAAGAAAGACAATAGACAGCTGTGTCTGCTGTTGTGTTTGATTGAATGAAGACAAGAACACAATTGGGTGCTTTCTTCTCAGGTGGTCAGGTGAGCCCATGTTGTGTCCCATAGAGCCGCTCTGGGGGGGGGGGGGGGGGTACTGTAGGACAGGTCAATCGTCTGGGTGTTGCAGCATCCAGGCCTCTCAGCAGAACATTTGAAGGGTGAATGTTGAAACTAATGAACCCGTTCAGGTGGATTATTGGCTGACGGTGTCCGTCTCGCATGGCTGAAGCAGGAAGTAACGGACTGACTCGTACATTCCAGCGCATGACTGCTTTCCTTTCAACGAGGACTCGTTGATGGTTTACGGCGAAGGAATTACTGGGCGAGGACAGTAAACGGGGAGGAAGGCTGGAGCCACTGAGGAAACAGGACAGATGGGACAGAGAGAGAAGACAAAGACCGGAGACCAGGAATAGATTTGTCTTAATTTACCGGCTATCCAGTAAATTAAATTCAAGGGTCATTGGCTGATTTTAGTTTGTGAGCGTATATTATCTCAATTGCTTGGTGGCTTGCTGCAGTATAGGCTATAAGCCCCGCCCCCTACATATTAAAGGATGGGACAAAAAACACACAGTACTTGTCTAATGCAGTTTCCCCAAAGATTTAAGGTAGTTCATGTGGCTGATCGGCTACAAATTACATCTGACATATTTTTAGGATAAAAAATATAAAAGACTGAAGAAATAAATCTGGGGGAAAAAATGGTGAAAAATCATTTTAAAAAGCGATTTTTTAAAAAGCGTCAATGCGCAAGCGAGTTAAGCGTGCAAACACACGTCTCTGTACGTGATGTAAAATCAAATGAACGTCTTCTGAGAATCACCAAACCTTCACAACATGAAAATGCAGTATCATTTGGGCTTCCGAAGGATTTTATAGCATTTTCTGATTTGCCACAACTAAGGTTAGGCTTATGTCCATTATTAAAAAACTAAAGAGTTTGGACCATCTTTCCGCAAAGGATGTCAGCCTTTATGTTGGCGTCAACTGTAAATATATTGTTTTTAAGATATTTAAGTGAAGGCTGATGCTGATGCTGTTTTTTGTCTTGGTGATCCCTTTGTAGAGCAGCTACATTCCAAGAGATTGGTGCAGGGACTTAGAGTTAATTCTTCTTTTTTCTTCATAAAGTCTTATAAAACATAGAAGTCCCAGCTTGTCTGCAGGGCAGGACATTCAGTCAGTGAACAAGCTACGGCTCCTTTCGCCTGCTTCTGACACTGAACTCTCATTGTGTTTCTTCCTCATCAATTCATTCCTCTAACGTCTGTTCAGAAACAGTTGTAACGTAAGTAGGAGACGAGGAAATCTCCATCTCATCATTGAGCATCTTGTGGCTGCACAGTAGATGATGATAATAATCACGGGGCCTTTGGATGGTGAACAGTTGAAAATGATTTTGTCTGATTTTGTCTCCATTCAAAATTGTCAGTGCTGGTTTGAAGATGAGTAAAAGGAAGTAAAGTGTGTGTGTAGTCGGCATGATTGGACTAAAAGACTGGAGGAGTCAGAGCTGAACTGTTTGTGACGTTTCCTTTACTATCCAGTGAATGAGACTTCATCCAGGTCTCTGATGTTCCTCCTGGAGCTCCCCAGATGGCTTCGCTTAGCGCCGGAGCTTTGAATCAAATAATCCTGGCATGAAAAGGCTCCACTCGGAGGGTTTGAAGTGTCCCGTGTGGTGGGACAGCGCCATATGTCATCATGTAGCAGATGTCCTCAGAGACAGACGCCGGGTGTCCCCTCCCCCCCACACTCATCACCTCCTGCTTCGTGTTAGTCTGCACGCTCCAGCGAGGGGTTGTTGGTTTTCCGCTGCATTACCCTGCAATGCTTCTTGTTCCTGGTGATGAGATGCCTGATTTGATCAAACACCCCTTTTCCCTCGGTAGTGTGACCGTTTACAGCGACGTTCCCATCACGAGCGTCGTCAGCCGTGTGAGTCAGCGTCCGTCATCAGGCTTCTTGTACTCTGAAGTTGCTCAGCAGGATGCAGACAAGAAGGTCGGAGACCCCTCCATCATCGAACTAAGGATTCCACCAAGAAGTGGACCCATTCATTGTGACGGCCATCTTGGATTTCGGCCTGCCTACGTTGTTGTTGTTTTTTGCCATATTTGGAATGCGTGTGAGTGACGCAGAGACGCTGAATACGGCTCTGTTAGCGGCAGCAACCTGTCAATCACACTAGCCCCCGGGCGTCAAAGTGACAGGGTCGCAAGCGGGTCTCCGCGTGGCGTTTCGTGGTTCTGCACCAGCGGGTTGTATCTGAGCGTGCGTCCGCACCGCGGTGCCGCCGCAGCGCTGGGAACCGACCCGCTCTCACAGGAGATAATGAAGCACCGCGCAGACATGTGCTTATGCTTGAGAGGTGGAGGGGGGAGAGGGAGAGTCTCGGGGGGGGGGGGAGCTCCGTGTTAATAAATAACTCCCATCACTTCCTCGCTGATGATAAGGATGGTATTTCTTGCTTCTCTTTTGGCGTCTTGTCTTGCCCAAACCGCACTGATGTCTCTCTCTTTCTCTCTGTAGAAATGAGGATGCCATCAACCAGATGGCCGTCCCCCCCTTTGCATCTCCCCCTCCTCCCCCCGTCCTCGGCCCCGTCAGCCCAGAGGTAACGTCGCACTCTTCAAAGCTCAACGCACACACGCTGCTGACAACCTACGTAAACATGTGACGGACACCCAATTGCAGACAGACCGACCAGACTGACCATGTGGGTGCTGATGATGCATGACATCACCAAAACGGTCCAATCAGTGAGACGCTTGTCAGTCTGCACGCCAGGGAGATCAGAACCTAAAGACAACACTGATCTGAGCTCCAGGTGTGAAAGATAGAGGAATAACATGCTTAATTCTCACAGCATAACATTGTATGATTTTTTTATTTTTATTATTTGACGTACAATAACAGACCTACTCTACTTTGACGTGTTTAGACATATAATACCATTACTTTTGGCCTCACTTACTCACTTACTATATTTTGACATTTATCATTTCTCAATATTATGAGTTAATATTTTTAACATATGTTGTCTGTAGGTGGCACAGGTACAGAGCTGGAGTGTGACGGCCGTTAGCCTAGCTTAGCATAAAGACTTGAAGCAGAGGGAAACAGCTAGCCTGGCTGTAAAGTTCATGTGTTAACATATTGTTAACGTCGACATTGTTTCATCTCAACACAAACGGGAACGTATGAAACACATTTTCTGGTTTCCAGTCACTCTTTTGTTTCTTCTTTTAATGCAGCTTGATACTGTTGGTGTGAAAGTTATTTAGTGGCCTTACACCAAACTCTCAGGAGAGGTTAAGATATCAAACGTGACATTTAATGTCAGTGTCCTTTTCACTCTAACACACTAATCTCTGAGAGTCAGGGATTAGAGGCAGACACATTAACAGGGGTGTAGAGATCAGAGAGGCAACTGCACACTGACTTTCATGAAATCCTCTTCTTCTTCTACGTCAGGTCGTCTGCGAGGCTCCTCCATGCGCCTCCGTCCCCACAGACGGGCCCCGCCCCCCCGACAGCCTGACCCTCCACCCGTCATCTGACCCACTGGTCAGTCGAAATCACTTCCTGAACTCAGTTGATATGTTATCAACCTCTCCTTGTGGGGATATCCCGCGTGAATATTTGGATGGATCCTTGATTCTATAGATCTCTCTCACTCGCACTAGAACTAAAGTCAGTGATATTCAATATAATCTGACAAGGAGATTTGATGAAAAGACAAAACAAGAGCAGACTTTGTCTTGTTTTATACTCAAACTATGATGGATAAAAATGGCCAAAGTTGGTCCAAAAATATTGCTAGATTTTGTCTGAACACTAAGACTTCTTTTAAAAAAAAGCTTCCATCACTGTTGCTTGTGCATGAACTACTGAATGAATTTCTAGTGTACTGTTGGTTAACAATAACAATAAGATCTGTTGCTGGCTGGAACAAACCACAAGTTTCTGCCCACATTTTATGGGGGTATGTGCAAACTGACCCGTGGTCTTTTTAACAGGACGATAAGAGCCAGGAAGCCCAACAGAATAACAAGAACAGGAACAGAAGCAGCAGCAACAACAGCGTCCCCAAGAGTCTGACCGAGAACAGCTGCACGAAGGTAACCTCATTCACTGTCCCCCTCCAGGGAGGACGGACGAGAGCTTTTACGCCGGCAAAAATAGAAATACCACAATTTAAAAATCAATTAAAAAAAAAAGTAAACAAATAATATCAGGAAAACCTACTTGCATACTCGTACTATGCAGCAAAAGTGTATATTATATATATTAGACAATTGTTATTTATTTTATTGAATGCATAAAAAATATATATATATGTACATACATACATGTAAAACAATATATGTATATATATATATGCCATTTGCAAAGTAACAGAATATTTTGAAATACATTTTGTGCAGTAATGAAACGTAACCTGTGTAGTTCTGTGTAGTGGAGACGACGTCTAAAGTAGCAGAAAATGGAAATAATCAAGAACAAGTAACTCCAAATTCTGCTCAATCACACCTAATTACTGTCTGTCTGTCTGTGTGTCTGTGTGTGCGTGCGCGCGTGCGTGCGTGTGTGTGTGTGTGTGTGTTTCTGTGTGTGCGTGTGTGTGTGTTTCTGTGTGTGTGTTGCAGAGGCTGAAAGAGACTCCAGAAAATGAGTTTCAGGCTCCAAAGGCATTTCTGGAGCAGCAGGTATCCACACCATGACCTCAATATACGTTAGAAGACCACATATACAGTATGAGTTAGTCTGACTGTACATTTAAATACAGATGTGTACTGTGTATTCAGATAAAAGTATATATATATTGACAGCCCTAGTGTGTGTATGTGTATATATATATATATATATATATATATATATATATACGCATTAATCTATGCGATTAATGTGGCCTAGATTTTCAAAATATGTTTGTTTACTTATTGTTAGTGAGTAAGTTGGCCGCGTAAACAAAACGGCCGTTTGCTGAGAGAGCTTTTTGCATTGGAAGTAAAACAAACAGTGGTGCGACATACAGCGGAGAACTGTGCAGAGGAATTACTCCACGTGTCCAACAGAAGGGGGGCGAGTGGCAAACGGACCACTTAAAGCACCGCTATGCTAAGCGAGCTGAAGTGATTACTCACTATTTTTAAGATTTAGTCTCCATTCATTATAAACAACATTGTAACTACAACAATATTCATTAATCGCCATTAATCAAGATTAAAGAGTTTCAAAATGTGCGATTAATTAGTTAAATTTTTTGAATCTATTGACAGCTCTATAACATATACATAGACACAGTGCTTTCCCTACCATTGAGCAAGACATGTGCGCTGGTCCGTTCGCCCCTGCAAAGTTGTGAACTAGGGAGAACACTGAATGAATGAGATTCACTGGTCTGGTTTATACATTTTGTGTGGGTGTGTGTTCTCGCGTGTGTGTAGTCGTGCAGGGCTTCTATCAGTTCCAGTAAAAAGACTGCAGCGCCTCCTCCACTGATAAGCCCAGATCTCCAAGCTGACAATAGAGGTACACACACACTTCAAAGTCTGTTCAATTGACATTCAACAACACATCTTCTCCTCTTTTAAAATTGTACGTTTAAGATAATTGCTTGTATTTAATTAAGCTCATCTAATGTGTCGTATGCAACCTTTGCAATCGCAGGCGTCTTTGTCGCTTTTGACATCTGATATCTATCTTTATGTACACGGAAGTATACAACACGCACTGGTCCCTCTGCAAAGAGTGGCAGAGGAATATGGTGGAAATATTGTACATTTTTTAGGAGAGAGGGAATAAACCAATTGTCCTTTCATCCTCCTCAGACCCATCATGCTGTGTGGTGGTCCCTGGTCAGGAGATGCTGCTGGAGATCTGTAAAGGTCGATCAGGACTCGGACTCAGCATAGTGGGAGGAAGAGACACGCAGCTGGTAACAGACATTTTTCTCCTCATCTTCTTCATTCTTATTATTAATAACTGAGAATAGACCACACATCGTCGCTGTGTTTGTGTCCTGTTTAAGATGCTCAAAGGTCTGATGTCATGTTCTATTATTTTTATTATTTATATTTCTTTTATATGAAATCCGTCATTGTCTCTCTTTGCTTCTCCACCAGGACGCCATAGTGATCCATGAGGTCTACGAGGAAGGAGCAGCAGCCAGAGACGGACGACTGTGGGCAGGAGACCAGATACTTGAGGTACTACTCAGTCAGTACTGCAGTACCGGTCATACAAGCAATATCCCCGATTGGGTGTTTTGATTGTTTGAATGTTGTTTTGTTCTCATGTCCTATTTTATTCATTTTAGTACTTTAACTAGTAGTGTTACTGATACTAAAACTTCAGCGTTTATTCCGGATACTGCAGCAAAACTACTGGATTCATTCATTCTCTGCTACAGACAAATAAATGCACTTTTAACTGTCACACTCTGTAGTAAATACTTTTTGTAATAATTGTAGAATCCCTGTTGTGTCCATCCATCCATCCGTCGTCAAACCGCTTATCCTGCACACAGGGGGGCTGGAGTCTGTCCCAGCCCACTTCTGTTATCTGTCATGGTAGTAATTCCTGGTGCAACTATAATAAAACTATTAGGCTGAAAATATCAAACTGAGTTTGACTTTCTGTGTAATTATAAATGAAAGACTTGATTCACTACTTTGTTATTTAAGGTTAAACAACATTGTTGTTTAAAAAAAACAACACTGTCTCCCAAGTCCACTGTTGTGGACCTACAAAAGTGAATTAAAAGTTAGTGTTTGACAGTTGGGAGAAGATCACAGCAGGCCAGATGTGAGGGAATAACATCTGTGTTCTAAGGATCCCCCCTTTCTGAAACCCTGGCAATACTCACCGGGTGTAAGAAGCACGTGATATGAGATTTTTATTCTTCGCGTGTGTCCAGGTGAACGGGGTGGACCTGCGCGGGGCGTCCCACGAGGAGGCCATCGCCGCCCTGCGCCACACGCCGGGGAAGGTTCGTCTGACGGTGCTGAGGGACGAGGCTCAGTACAGAGACGAGGAGAACCTGGACCTCGTTAAGGTGGAGCTGCAGAAGCGCAGCGGCAGAGGGCTGGGACTCAGCATCGTCGGGAAGAGGTACACACACACACACACACACGCACACACACCGATACACAACACTTTGTGTTTGTTGCTGCTGCTGTTTCAAAACATGCAAAAAACACCGGTATACTTCTATTCCACTGAGATACCATCTCAGAGAGAAACCTTGTTACTTTTCACTTTACTTGTCTAAAATATAATCAACTAATAGATAATGATGTATTAGTGTTAATTGGACCATTGAACAACCCGGATCTAAGCCAAGGAATTCCCCTTCCGCTGATCACTCACTATCGGAAAGACGAAACATAACTATTCATAGACGTGATTATAAACTAATCAAAACATAGTTCTCAATATTGTATCAAATTTCTGATAATTGTGGCCAATCGCTTTAAGTAAAAATGATGAATGCAGTACTTTTATTTGTAACCGATTGTGTGACAGCAGTAGAATTGCTGTTATACTACTAAATAATCTGTGTATTTCTGCCACCACTGTGTTTGTCTTTGTGTGTGTGTGTGTGTGTGTGTGTGTGTGTGTGTGTGTGTGTGTGTGTGTGTGTGTGTGTGTGTGTCAGGAGTGGTAGCGGTGTGTTTATCTCCGAGGTGGTCAGAGGGGGCGCCGCTGAGCTGGACGGTCGTCTGATGCAGGGCGATCAGATCCTGTCAATCAACGGAGACGACATGAAACACGCCTCCCAGGAAACTGTCGCCGCGATTCTGAAGGTTAACATTCACTTTTTTAGTTTTCTTGTTAATATTTCCTTTTGGTGTTTTGGCCATTATCTGATTTTAGGGGGGCTTGATGTAATTAGAACCCTGGCTTTGACCTGCTGTGTGTTTTTGCATGAATATCATATGATGTTTTTACGTGTTTGTCCCTCAGTGTGCTCGAGGTCCGGTCCTGTTGGAACTCGGGCGCCTCAAAGCTGCATCCTGGATCTCCTCCAGACGCAACTCCCAAGGAAGCCAGGTGCGTAGTGTTGTTCCATCTTTGTGAGAACCCGTTTTAGTTTGAGGTTTCAGCATATTTCAAATATTCCCCCTCAAAGTTCAAATTTACCTTGTTATTATGTGACACAGTGTATGAAAATCCAAAAACAAGGCATTAAAAACGGGCTGCTGATTTGTTAACAGCCAATAAAAGGGAAACGAGCCACCATGTTTGCGTAGAAACTCACCTTTTGTTCCAGATGAGTGGGAGCAGCTCAGGCGTAGCGGTCCCGCCCCCAACCAACACCTCAACATCATGTGACCTCGTGACTCCTGAACCCACGCAGTCAACCTTCACCGGGCCACCGTCCCCCAACAACAGCACAAAGTCCACCCGTGACACCACTTCCTGCTCTAACAGCACAGGTAGCATGAAATAACTTCCTGCTGGTTAGAGATCATAAATAACTGTGATTGAGGAAATAGGCTGGATTTTCTGTGGGGAGGTTTTTCTTAAAATAGTATGTATTGAAACCAAGATCTGAAGAGTTTACATTAAATTACAATAAGTGCATTTCAATCATGATGATACAAAGATTAAGAACAAGAAACAAGAGTGCAATTTCATAAAATAAGCCAAAATACAACTTGCTATAGATAAGAGCCATTTTAAGTACAATTTAAGTGCTTCCATTTGTGAGTCTTTTAGTCGAGGTAGTCTGAAGAGGTGTGTCTTTAGTTTGTGGCGTAAGTATCATTATTTGATTAATTAATGGATTTAATTTTAAATTACTTTAAAGGTGGTTCTGCATTGTCCAGGGGGGGAGATATAACTTCACCAAAGCGCCATTTATTTAAACCCACAATAGAAAAAAATATAGTTGCTTTGAAATGATTAAGAATGGTGTTACCAATTCCTTGAAAGTGGCAATGAAAATCTTGTGGCACACTATAATGACGTGATGTATTATGTTACATTGAATAAAGCTTTTGTTCCATTTTGGACCTGTTAAATGTTGCTCACTGTTTTTCTCCTTTCTTTGCGTAGGGCCAGAGGCTGGCCTCCGCACTGTGGAGATCACAAGGGTAAGTTAGAAGGTAGTACACAAGTAGTACACATGGCGCTCACACACAACAGAATAATGTAATAAAAGCGCACAGTCAGAGGAAGGCGTTGGCATTGGGGCCTAGAAGGAGCTTTGTGTGTTTGAACGATTTTCATGACCTGTAGCAATTGCAGAAGCCTGAGAGACGGACTCATGATCTTTTCTGACAGGGTTCTGTAAAGTCTTCTTCTCTGGTAGTTAGCGATTGGTACCAACACATCACGGAAGACGTTGTGCAGTTGGCGCCAATGGCGCAAATGTTGTTAGATGCGGTGTTTGCGCTCTGCAGACGGACGCATGCCAAAATGATTCTCTCCTCTCAGGCTTCACCTCAAGCAAGTGTCCCCTCTCTCCCCCCCTCAGAGAGTCAGCGACTCCCTCGGCGTGAGTATAGCAGGGGGGAAGGGCAGCCCGCTGGGGGACATCCCCATCTTCATTGCTATGATTCAGGCCAACGGGGTTGCGGCGAAGACGTGCCGGCTCAAGGTAGTCCGCCACGCGTTGTTGTGTGCTTTCATACCGTCACGAATGGTGCGGCCCCCGCGGTTCCCGCGTCACAGCGAGTCACCACCGTGAGTGAATAAAGCAGACGTGTCTGTGTGTTCAGGTGGGCGACAGGATCGTCAGTATTAACAGTCAGTCCGTGGACGGTCTGTCGCACGGCGACGTCGTCGCCATGCTGAAGGGCAGCTACGGAAACATCAGCCTGCAGGTAACTGTGCCAGTGGTGCACCATTTCTAACGCGACCAATCGGGTGAAACCCTGTCAGCCCCCTTCAGGCCCCGGTGCCGCTAAGCGTTGAACAATCCGACATTCAATATTGAACTTTGCATTCTCAGTTTTGTCAAAGTTACTTTGGGGAAACTGGGAAGTGTAAGTTTATATGCTTGAGTTAGAAGTTGTGTGTCATTTTGTATAATGGTTATATTATCTGACTGTACTTCCGTACGGGGAAGTGACATCTCGGAAACGCCTTGAGATGATTTCTTTAAATTTAGTTTGGCGAAAATCACTGTTGCCTCACAAAACACATTCATGGCCACTCATTTAAATGCAGAGATTTCAATTTCACACAAATGTCTGTCAGGATAAAATGATGGTGTTGACATCTTGGACAGACGTGGATGTGAACTGAATGGTTGGAGGAGGCATACAACCTTCCACTTTGCTGATGTTGGCCATGGGGTGAATTTATTAATCCTGATGCACTGTAGTAATTAATTGTGTTGGTCTGTGAGCAGTATGATGTCACCTGGACACTTTTAGTGGTGTAAAGAAAGTAAAAACGTGTACTCAGTAACTGAACATCTGTGGTTTAAGCTTGAACAGTAAAACACACATGAGAAGATTTTTAAACACAATAACTTGATTATGGATCTAATTGGGCTTTTGTAAAAGTTAGACGTGTAATTCTATTTCATCTTTCATGAATCCTTCATGGCAGTGTTTTACACTGAATATCTTCCGTCTCACGCAAGCGCAGGTCGACAAAGTCACTTATGACCTTCACGGTCCCTAAGTTCCCGTATCATTCTGAGATCAGGTCTTTTTCATCTTCTCATGTTGCAGGCTTGCCATCGTGGTAACGTACCCTTGAATCGTAGATTAGAGTGAGTAGTGGCGCTTGTCGCCTGTAGCCTTGAGACCACCGTTCAGCTGCGTGTATATCGACCTCCGGAGCCTGCGAATCATGCTCGGCTGTCACCTCGTGGCCTCACACAGCTTTTGCGAAATGTACTTATGCGCTCACAGACCAACCAACCTATCAAGCTTTCACAGTTTGGTCCTCCCGTAGGAGATGGGAAATCTAGGCTGCTGTGCCTACTGAGGGCTCTCACAGCTTCTGTGGAGGCCCCCGCGGCCACATGACGGTCACAACAGCTCTTTGTCAGCTGCGGTGGGCCGAAGAAGCAGCTCCTATCTAACTGGTTAGCTGAGGCCATCGCCTACGCATACAGGTCGACTCTGCTGCGACACGAGGAGTGTCTCAAGTCATGGGCAGCCCTGAGAGATGGACCCTGAGAAGACGTATGGGCTGAGGCTCCTCTTCGTGAGCTGTAGGAGGAAGGTACTAAGGGTCCCCCGTGGCTCTTGGTCTAAGACATCCAGTGTGAAACAATTACGGAGATCAATGCGGGCAAAGTACAACGGAAAGGTCCTTGTGTAACTACGGTTCTACGAATCCTGGATGACCGCCAGAGTTCTGGGTCACTAGGAATCCCATCAACTCCCAAGAATGACACTTAGATCGTTGAGGTCATCCAAAGGGACTCAAACCTGCGCTTGTGCAAGATGGACAATATGGAGTGTGGAACACTGCCTCTGGCAAATTTAGGACCATGGTTACATTCTTAACTTATGTTTTATGACTGCAAAGTTGATGGGTCCGAACATTGTTTCCAATTCCCCCCCCCACTCTCAGGACCCCCCCCAGATTCGTCTGGTAGCTCTTTGGAGGTAATCAACCCCTGGCAGCACATAGGGCATTCATGTCTAATCATGTATGCTAAAAACAACAACAACAATCTGTCAAAGAAGACATTTAACCAGTACTTTTATTCTTGACTTAACTACAGGTTTTTGACTTCTGTTGGGTTATTGGTACTGGTTGAGTAAAGGATCTGAATATCTCCTCCCCTGGTTGTTACATCAACAGAATCAATTTAATGATCAAAACTCCTCATGGTGTAAGACAGTAAGTAACTGCTGGTGTGTGTGTGTGTATTTGTATTTTATCAGTGTAGTCCAGCAGGCTGACTGTTGCATGCTGGGAGTGCGATATCAGCAGCAATAAGCAGGATTAATGAAGCTTCATCCGTCTGCAGCGGAGAGACCGATAAGAGACTTTATATTTGGCCGTTTGCCCAAAGGCTGTGAGGCAGCTGGTCCACTGTCTGTTATATAATCAGGTGTTCTAACTGGCTCTGTTTTAGTTTGATGACTTCCGTGAGTTAGTCGGAAAAGTATTAATCATTTAGTATTTAACTTCCATAAAGCAGTTGTTGCGAGAGGCAGATTTATAAGAGCCTGAGTGGCTTCAAGGGTTAATTGTTTACGATGTAGAATTTACTGTAATCTCATTTAGTTTTTTTGACATTCTTGTTTTCCTTGTTCCTTCCTTGTTCCTTGTTTCCTTGACTACTTGGAACTTGGGAGGAACATCTGCTCGGCATTCTTAGACATTAGTGTTTCCCCGACCGTTGTGTTGGTGTTTTTTTACGTGTCTCATCCCGATGGACAGACGCCAATTGAAATCAATTGAATTCAGTGGAAGCAACTGAGCCGCTCTCCCTGCGTGTGTCTGCCTCTCTCAGGTGGTAGCAGACACCAACATCGGCGCCATCGCCACTCAGGTGGAATGTTTGTCCAGCACCTCCAGTCTGTCGGCTGCCACTGAGACACACAGAGCAGAGCCAGAGTGGGTGTACACACACACACACACACACACACACACCTACGACAGGTGCCGCCTATATAGATCTGACTCCTTTCTGTCTTCTTCTTCAGGGGTCCTCGGCCCTGCAGCATCAGTCTGCAGAAAGGCTCCGAGGGACTCGGCTTCAGCATCGTCGGAGGATTTGGCAGTCCTCACGGAGACCTGCCGATCTACGTCAAGACCGTCTTCAGCAAGGTCAGAACAGGCTAGCAGTTTCCATCTGCTTCCAGTGTTTATGCTAAGCTAGGCCAAACAAGTCTGGATAACGAGAGTCCTTCAGATCCATATCTGTGTTTTCAGTTAATAGTATTCAGTCACTGATGAGAGGGAAATAAATCATCATGCTAACTTGTGTGGACTGTGCTGCTGCCTCTTGGACATCATCATCATAAATGAGAATTGGTTCTCAATTGATTTTACCTGGTTAAATAAAGGTCAAACAAATCAAATCAAATAATTGGCTATTGAATTCAGTCAAATGTCATTGGCATATCGTACCTTATTGTGATTGTGTATTTGTTAAATGTTCAGATTGAAGTCTATATAAAACAACAACATTTAGCAAGTCTGAAGTCGTATGTTAGATGTATATAGAAGATATCTAGCATGCTAGCGTTTGTCAGTAAGCTACAACGGTGTCAGTTAGGGGCTGTAAATATAACGTCAACAATGTGTATCTACCTAAGAACTAGTCTGTTCAACTCATTAAACTACCGCTCAGGGCTACGTTTAGACTTAAGGACAGATGCTGCATTGATTCCTGGTTCCTAATGTTGAGCTAATATTATTATAATGTTATTATGGGTCTCCGTTGAATCCCTGAGTACTAATTAGTATGTGTTGTTACACAGAAGGGTTGCTTTTACTTCAGATTGGATGATTGGTTTTGGTAGATGCTAACTATCTCAGGCTGTGATTTAGACGGAGAACCAGAGGATTTATCATTGCTGTGAATCTTAAATTGTACAAGGTGAAGGTAGTCCTGTGTGTTTGTTAGGTGTACCCTGTATAATACACTCATAAACTGCACTAAATACTTTATTAGCATTAGAATGAGGCAGGCTAGTTTGAACTAATGAATGGGTGCTGCTCTAATCTTTAGCACGCAATTTAGCCGTTCTTCTTCTTCTTCTTCTTCTTCTTCTTCTTCTTCTTCTTCTTGATCAGGTGAGGAGAGTCAAATTGGCTCACTCACTCAAAACAGACTTTTTCCCTCCCACTAATTGAATCTCCAAGTTGAATGAATAAATAATAGATGGAGGCTGTGTGTGTGTGTGTGTGTGTGTGTGTGTGTGTGTGTGTGTGTGTGTGTGTGTGTGTGTGTGTTTGTGTTTCAGGGCGCAGCGGCGGTGGATGGCCGCCTGAAGCGCGGCGACCAGATCCTGTCTGTGAATGGAGAGAGTCTGCAGGGAGCGACACACGAGCAGGCGGTCGCCATCCTGAAGAAACAAAGAGGAAGCGTCGCGCTGGACGTCCTGTCATAAAACACACACACACAAAACTTGCATGCAGACACACAGGCATATGAAAACAGATTCTTGTGACTTCCTTCATGCACTCAGACTTTGTGGATCGTGAACTCTGAACATTCCAACATTAAAAAAGACAGAGCTTCAGATATCAAATGCAACATGCATTTGCACACACACATAAACCTCCTGTGGGGTGAAACCGGTACCTGCTGAAAAATAAAATAGAAAGAGAATTAGAGTTTTTCAACCTTGGTGTAGGGCCACAGGTGGGGTCACGTGATACATAGATGTGGTCATGACAAACATCTGATGAATGGATTTGTTGGGCTGGGATCATGGCATTAAGGTTGAGAAACTCTGTGACTAGAAACTCTATTAAATGAGAAAATTGTCTCAAATCAAATAACTGTCAATATGGAGTCATGGTGGAGTGGCTTTGTCGCCGGCCTGCACTAGTTAATGCGTTCAGACACACACACACACACACAGAGCAGACGGGTTTGTTTTCTTGATCTTAATCCAGAGGAACAAGAAGCACGTGTTTGTTCTCCAACACTGCTGCTTAGCAACTTCTCTCTGGTAAAAGAGCAGCAGTTCATTATGAATGTGGAAAGCACAGGAGAGGACGGTGGGTGAACTGTAACACTTCTGTTCGGGTTCAACAAATTGGCAGGACTGTGCAGTTTCAAACACCTAACAGGTAACAGTTGGATTTTCTAAAACAAATGGGAAATGTAATATTAATTCAGTTAAACAATCAACCCTAAACATTGTCTGTTTAAGACTCCCATGTATACAAAAAGTACATGGCACATTTGTGGAAATATGCTCATTTTTGTATAACAAATTACACACATTCATGGGATGGTTTTTTCCTATGGTTCCTTGTTTTCAATATTTAGTGCCATTTATTATTATTTTTTAACTTCAATTTGCAGAAATTGGATTAAACCATCAAAAACAACACATCCGACTGAAAACATGTTGGGCTTTAAGTGAAGGCTGTACTAGGAGGTGTAGACCGGTTCCCACATTATTAAAAAAAAACGTAAATCAAAACCTATAATAATTGAAAGGAATTAACCGTAAAACAAATTATGAATCCATAATAGACTATATTAAAAAGTTCCTTCATAACAGAGACTCAGTCGTTTGTTGAAACATTTTACACAATGTACACACATTATTATTATTTAAAGTAGGAAAGTCTGTTAAAGTTTCCTATTTAGTTTTTTATATAGTTTCATCATTCAACACAAACATTTTCAAAGTTTGAATAACCTGTACGCACACATTTCTCTCCATATTGACCATGTTAATCACACATGTGTCTCCATGGAGATGAATCTCAGGGCCTGGTGGGCTTGGAGACCCCGTGTCGCCACCGGCAACAGATAGTGTCTTCCACATGATTTGAATCATGGAGAGAAAATCTTAAAATTGTGTCTACGTGGAGATTTGAATTATAAAAGGCTTTCTAGAAGCAGGTGTGAATAAGAGGGACAGACTGACATTTTGTAAAACTATTGTCCTCAAACAGACCAGTTCAGTCTCTTCAGGAGAAGGTTAGCATAGCTTAGCACAAAGGCTGTATGCAGGAGGGAAATACACCCTAAACACCTCCAATCCGATTTAAATGTTCAGCTTATTACGCCTTTTAGCAGTTGAAATTGACCAGGTTGACCGCATATCTGCAGCAACTAATAGTTCATACTGGGTTTTTCTGCATGGATCAAAGAGTTGAAAATATCTTCAAAGACACGTCTTTACATATTTTTATCTTAAATTAAAAATGGTATTTTTGAAACTAAAAAATAACGGATGTTAAGAACTTTTAAGTGTTTTGTGTACCTCTTTGAAAAAACTAATTCCATGCAGGATTCGCAACATAAATTTGACCCATTAGGTTAAATGAACGCTTTGGTCATCCTTGTAAAAACAGGGTCGTCCCTGCTCGTTACATTATGAGAGATTGGTAAAAATATATATTTTTTTTCAAAAGTGGGGATTTTGACATCACCGACCAAAGGAAACACTTAAACACATTAAACATTTGACTGATTGTGGAGGCTTAATATGACCCTTTAACGATTCATAAGACAACGTTGAACACAGGACGGTGGGAGAAGGTGTAAGACGTTGGCATGCTAACATCGGCTATGTCAGCTAGCTTAACAACATTTACACCTCTGTTTGTGGCTGTACACCGTTAGTACCAACTAGTTTGTGAGCTGGTTTAACTTCCGTAAACATCGCCAGTGAAAACCCTCGACACTCACAAACAAGTCAAAAACTTAGCGTGAATTTACAACTTTTGTAACGTTAAGAGCTCGATAGCAAACCTGAAAAGAGCGGCCTTCGTTTGGAGGGGGACCAGAGGATTTACCAACATGTCAGGCTGTTGCTTTCGATTAGTTTTGTGTCTGCAGAGCTTTGCTGAAGTTTATTAGGATTCCACAGTTTAACTCTTTTCAGATATTTAAATATGTAATTGAGACTTTGTGCTGAGCAGGATCCTGTACCTGAAACATATCGATCCACTGCAAAATACTTTGTTAAGCATGTTTTTGTCATAATCACTCTTAATTTTTTATCTGAAGATATCAGAGTAGATGAACTGTAATTTATTTTTGTGATCTCACTATAAATAGCAATGTTATTTGTTTTTAATCAATGCAATATGTTTGTGCCAGTGTCTGAAGCTTTGCTTTGCCTTCACACAGGACTCGTTCAGAGTCGCTGCCAAAAAACAGCTGAAGTTGCACTTTATTTTACATATTTACTTGATACGGTTTCCTGGAAAGAAATATATAATTCAGTACTATTGACTATTGAGAGTAAATAGAGGGATATTCCAGTCCGAGCATAATGGATTGAAAATTATTAGTGTGAGCTGCTTTTTAAAGGTGTTATTCCTTTAAAATACAACTTCTACAATTATGAGGACATTGAGTTGACAAGTGGGAAGTAAGAATGAAACATTTTGTTTTTGGCTGAATTTGTTGACATTTACTCTTATTGGCACTATTATTCTGGATGAGCTGGATTAGCTGCTCCGGTTAGCAGTGTAACACTGTGATACTGTAGAAAACTTAAAAACACGATTATTCTAAGTTCTGCGTGGATTTCAGAGGATTAATGGATGTTTATTTTGAATGAACATTGGAGGGAAGTGGATTCTCTTTCTGTATCTCGCCTCCCCTTCAGCACCTGCCCCCCTCCTGAGGCTTTTGTCTTTCTGTTGTCCGTGTCCCGCTCAACGTCTTATCCTGTCGTCACCATGGTTACAATGTCCTTCAAAGATGAGTTACATTGCCGTGCAGCTTGCATACCTGGCCTCCTCCTGTAATGTTGATCTGTTGTCTTGTTGAGGCGTTTTGAGTTACTCAGTGATGATGAACCATGTTATAGTTCTTGGTAAAGGCGATGCAGGACAGTGGAAGCTATTTTATGAAAATAAACACGCTTTTCCTCACGTTGTTCCAGTGCAGATGCTAACTTCCCTTTAAAGCGTTCAACAGTCTCTCATTCCTTTGCGAGCATTCAGCAGGTTCTCACAATACTGATATTTTTTTATTTATAAAGCTTATTTTAAAAATTTCATGCTGCAAAAATGGATAAATAAAACTTGAAATTCTGACTTTAGATGTTCCGCTGCAGTTTTTGTATTTACAATAATTTGAATGTCCTGTGGTTTGGATTGTTGACACAAAGTACCCCACCGAAGCAGGATCTCGAGTGCAACTCCAATAGCAATACATGAGGCGAATGGTTATTGCATAAAGAAAATGACATTTCTGATAAGTTTTGAAAAAAAATGTTTCCTGGGGTCCTCTTGGTATTTGGGATGTTTTACAGAACATCTGTTAGCGCCTTATGCTGAAAAAACTCTAATGGCCGACAAGTCAAACCGTCTGCTGACATTTACTCTCGCAGATCAGATGTCATTTACAGACACATCTGATCTAGATTACTGTGCAGTCGGGCTCTGACGTGTTCAGAGATTACATTTTGAAGAAAGAGCAGAAACTGCAGACCTTGCACAAAATAAACAACAAATGATTAAAGTGTTCAAAAAGAATCTCCAGACCCATCAGTCTGTCGCCCCCAAACATCTAACCGATGTTAACTGTGATGTGATGACAGCCGGTGGGAGAAATGTTGACGATTATTCTTCTATCTGCTCTGATGTCCACTATGTTTGATTTGGCAAAAACCTTCTGTTTTATTCAAATGTAAAGAGAGTACAATACACCTTGCTGGAGTCTTTTATATATTAATTATAATCTGGTGATCAGGGGTCAACTCAATGAACCGTCAAGGAGGCGCTACGACTGCTATTACAGACACCTGAACTAACATTTTTTGTAAAAATGGGCGAGTTCCGGCAGAGTGTAATTATTAATCACAAGTCATTCTTTCATTGATCAGTAACAAGAACCCACACAGCAGTTTGTAAGGAACGATAACTTATTCATCAGGATCACAGGATAGACAGTTTTATAATGACGCATTTTATGCTTACTGATATAAGTTGAATAAAAAAAATAATAAATTCTGATTCCCAGCTTCACCCACCAGAGAGAACAGATACGACAAAACTAAGACGACATTCATCAAGAAAAACATCATTAAATGGGATTTTTGTTCCATAGAAAAGAATTTTGTCCTGAGTCTGTGGGGACGATGTTCAGACAACAGGATCACTGCGGGACGGTCACATGGAGGTAACTTTGTCTTCAGTGCCGTCCATCACCAGGTTGTCGTAAGCATTCATGTCGTCTTTGCTCCTGATGAACAAACAAAACGTATTTATCAGTGTTGGAAGAAGTACTGAGTTACTGCAGCAGAAACGTTTGTGCGTTTTCCTACCGGACCATGTCCAGAGTGCTCTCATAGGTGTTTTCTGTCTCTCCCACCACGGTCTTCACCCTAATGACACATGCACGTTACTTACATATCTTTCTTTTAGTCAGTGAACAATCCGAAAATGAAGATTTTCATCTCAAAGCCAGAATGTTCAAGAGTGCCCTTCAACAAAAACTGAAACATTTCCACCTGACACCAAAAAGAGTATAAACTAAAATGTATACTTACATATATGAATTGTTTTGATTAATATTTCTGCATGTTGGATTTGAAGTTCTAAATATCCTGTTATCTAGTTTATTCAACAGAAATATTCTATCAGATCATCCCATTTGAGAGAGAGACTATAAAGTATTTAGTTATATTAAGTTTAGTTTTCTTACCTGACCGTGCCAGGACTGCTCTCATAGATGTTTTTGTTGACAAATTCATCTTCTCCCACCAACTCCACGGTGACCTCCCTGCTGGCAAACAAACTTAATTAAGACTTTTTTTATTCAAAATATGTTTACCTAAGTATCAGAAAGTCAAGATTTTGAGAACAAACCTAGAATTCTCAATAGTCTTCATACTATGTACTACATTATTTTGCCAGTTTAATGGGATTGAAAACGGAGGATTTGGGCTTTAGCTCAACAAATGGCTGTGGTTTAATTTACTGTGTACCAATGAAAGCATATTTTTAAATAAATATTTGGTTAATTGACTTTCGAAAGTTTTGTATGTAAATGGAAACTTGCAAACTCCAAATTTTGGAGGTTTAGTAGTTTAGTAATATAAAGATGATTGTAAGTACCAATTACTCCTTTTTAAACCCAGCTTACCAAACCATCAAAACACAGGTATGGCTTATTTAAAATAGTAAATGTATTTATTGTAATTGTGGATTTTATATTTAATTAAAACAAGTTATATGTACTCAGCAATGTGTCTAATTCACTCTATTGTACAAATGATGAATGCACAAAACATAACGTTGCATGACCTCCGTGGCTCCTCACACCAGGCCTTCTTCACCAGGAAGCCGACAAAGGCGAGGAAGAGGAAGCCGGAGACGGCGATGATCCCGGTGAGCCACTGAGGCAGCGCGCGCTCCTGCATCTTAGCCTGAGCTGCGACACAGACACACAGGTCAGAGGTCGTTCAAACTCCTAAATGTGGTTTTATTCAAATGCCTGCTTCAAGGTGCACGTCCCTGTGACCCCAACACTAAAAATTAGAAAAAAGTCTGATACCCTGTGACATGCAGGGAAATAGAAATACTCCCTTAAACATGGGATTCAATTAGAGAGCTGGAATGTATTTCACAAGGTGTGTCTCTTTTTCATAACCGCAATGGTTAATGGTATTAACAGGATTATAAAGGTGCTTCCTTGAACACATATTATTCTTATCACCAATTGATTTTTCAATAAATACCAAAAAAACATATAAATTGTACGAGATTAACTTTCCACTGAAACAAAGCAGAGAAAATTTGAAAACTTAAATAAAGTAAATGTTCTATTCTTGAACTAAAACAATGATTTGGTAAATGGACTTAAATGGGTAACTTTATCAACGTCAAACAACTCACATCTCCATCATCGGTTCTTTGATTTAGTTCTTGCAACATGAAAAAAACAATTGAAAATGTTTATTAGTAATACGTTTGAGTCAAAAGCTTAGACACACTATCATTGAGAAAGTAAAAGTATATTTACTGAAGTACTATTTTAAAGGTACTTTTAAGTTGTTTACTGTTGGAAATTTCCACGACATTTACCAGCTGCAACATTGAACTGATGAACACACTAATGGATCAATAAATACAATCCGAAATATAGTTTGATATACCATTGTGCATTACAAGTATTTTGACTTTTGGTACTTTAAGTATAATTTGGTGGTAAAACCTTTGTTCTTTTTTTAATATTATTTTGAATTCCAGACTTTTGATTGTAAAGGATTATTTAGACACTGTAGCATTGAGTCTCCTGCGAGTTCTGAGTACTTCACTGCTGAGGATAGTAAACTGATATAAAAAATATTTTATATATATATTATTTATTTGGGGTTTGGACAATTTTTGGATACTGATCTGTGACATTTTACAGAGGCAAGGGTTAATAAACATGTTGTTTCATAGAATCAATGACCTACTGTGAGAAGTATAACTATTATTTGTTGTCAGCACAGTTGAAACAGCTCGTACCTCCCTGGGCCGCCACCGCTGCCGCGCTCAGCAACAAACAGGAAACCGCAGCGAAGAGTTTTCCCATCGCTGCCTCTCGCTCTGATGGAACAAAAAGGTAAAGTACCACAGGAGGGAATAACCAGACGCCTCAGACGTTGAGTTAAAACTTGTGAAACCAACAGCAGAGTGGGTCGCTGCTTCATTCGTCCTGTAAATGGTTAACTCAAACTACAGACTTTGCCTCCGTGTTTATGGCCCAGTCGTGTTTGTGTTTGCTCTCAGGTGGACCAGCTGTCTGTCACACTGCTGCTGTTCTTGTGGTTTGATGAAGGGTTAAAACCTGCAGAGTGGACTGCACAAAAATAATATTGTCTAAATACTAGCAAATGATTAGATATAAATTTATTAAACTGTCTATGATCATTTTCTGATACCAAAAGCCAAAGTGTAACCGAACAATTACCTTCCCGACATTTACTACAAAGAGCTTTTTCTGCTTTATTATTACCAATCGGTCAGAGATTTTTTGAATTAAATCATCCATCTGAATTATACCCAAAATAAGACTGGGGGCTTTTATCCTTTGGATAATTATTTGCTTTTTCATGGAGTTTGACTGAAGCCTTGTTTTGGATTTTCCATTATTAGCTAGTTAGGTATCTTAGAAACTAATTTGCTAGCTGGACATGCTAACATAAACATTCCTCGTAACAGATACATTCACATCATAGTTCATAGGGCTCCTCCGTAGTTTCTCCATGTGTTGCAGCGGGATGTGCGGCCGTAGTGTCACAAACCAACATCAGCGGTGATCATCACTAATGATCAACACAACAACACTCACCGCCTGTTGTCTTCATGGAGGACAGCAGGTGGGGTCACTGTCGGTTCCACTGCAGCAGCTCCTGTGTCCATCTCTGTTCTGCACTCACTACAGCTATACTTATATTTTTAACAAAATAGTGCTAAATTGTGTAAGCGTGTACATGACCAGAAAAACTAATGAATGCATTTTAACACATTGTTATAAAATACATGTTCTATATCTAAACATTCATGATTCATTTATGTATATTATTCATGTTCACTAACTGGTTACAACTTCACTATAAACATTTTCACTCGTTGTCTTTTGAAAACTCCCGAGAGCCTGCAGGCCCCTGGAGTTTGGCCCCGGCGTCCTACAGGATGAGGCAGGCCGACGAGGGTTTCTCTCTCAGCCGGCCCACGAGGTCCAGGTTGAACAGGGCCGGGTTGTAGTGCTCCAGGTCGGATCCGGGCCTCTGCTGGACCGGCTGGCCGGTCTTCTCCCGGGAGGTGATCCGGTACCGGGCCTTGACGTTCCTCAGAGGGTTGTAATCCGGACTGACGTGCTCCGGGCAGCGAAACTCCTCCCTGATGACGCAGCCTTGCTGAGACAACGCCACGAAGCCGCTCCTGACCGTCACCATCCTGACGACGGGGGAGTAGACGTATTGGACGTACAGCAGGTCTCCTGATGGGAAGTATTTTGAATGCATCAATATGGAAATAATCCAAAGCAAAAGTGCCATACTCATACTTCATTAATTAATATTCTTATTCATATTTATTACCTTTTTTTGGTATCAGCTAATTGGACCACCATCACTTTTACTTATGATCTCTGGTGATAACAGGTAATAAACTGCCTTTTGTTTTCTCAAGATAACGATTTGAATATCTTATCCCATAAAGTGTATTTTTTTCTTGAGAAAAGCCTCTGGGCTCAGTAGTGGAAAACCTTTCTGTTGAAATAGAAATAGTTGCAAGTTGGGAACGCTGCCTCGGTAGACCAGAACGTACCCGTAGCGACGTCCCAGACTTTGACCGTTCGGTCCTGAGATCCAGTGAAGACGAACTGATCGCTCTCAGAGAAAGCAGCGGAGAGGACGCCCTCGAAGAAGAAACCCTGATCAGCAACGTTGGTACATTGTCATTTTGTGGAATAATAACGTCATCTCATTTAAAGATAAATAATAGTTAACTATTAATGTACAAAATACTACTATAACCTCATCTGTGAAGCAGGCCTGCTTGCTGAAACTTAATGATGAAATATAAATTAATCTACTGTGGAATATTACCAACCATTAGGTATATATACACCGTTACAGTCAAACGTTTGGACACATGTATACACATTTTTATATACTGGTATATATATATAAATGATATGCAACAATGTAAAGTATCGAGTGGGGAAAACATCCACCTTGTACTCCATGGTGTGGTCCAGGACCAGTGGGCTCAGGCTCCACAGCCTCAGGACGGCGTCCTCGGAGCCCACCAGTGCTCGGGTCCCCCAGTTACTGACCGTCACGCAGGTGACTCGGCCGCGATGAGCCTCCAGATCCGAGCTGCTGCCGTTGCAGAAGTCGTGGAACCGGACTTCCCCGCAGCTCGTCCCGTACAGCAGCCTGCGGTCGGACAGCAGGGCCATGGAGGACAGTGGGGCGTGGAGGAGCGACAGGGGGAGCCGCTGCAAGGGTCCCTCCACCGCGGGGAAGCTGTCCCTGGTGGTGATCTCGAACAAGCAAATGGAGTCCTCGTAGGCCACGGCCATGTGCTTCTCCTGGGAGCTGACGGCCAGGCAGAGCACCCTGGAGAGGCTCTCCGGAGGGGGGAGGCACAGCGTCTCCTGGGGCAGGGCCAAGGGGTAGATGAGGACGGTGCCGGTGTTCAGGCCGCAGAACAGCAGCCGTTTGTTTTGAGCCAACTCCAGACAGCAGACCTCGGCAGAGACCGCCAATCGCTCCGATAGACACCCTGTAGGGAGACCCGAGAGGAGGGTTACGAGCCTCCAAGGTGCTTTCAGAACTCCAACTTGATTCCCACAATGCCCGTCTCTTTGTCTGCGCTCTAACTTTGTATCAGAAGTGACCTGTGTTGTTGTTCCAGCTGATGACCTCCGTTTGGTTCTGCTGCCGGACGTAAAAAACTCGGTCTGAATCTTTGGCGACAACGACGTGGGCGCAGCCAGCAGGGATGTGGGCGACGGGCTTGTGGTCGGTGTCGTACTTCAGATTCCACAGATGGACGCCGGCAGCTGCCGTCGAGGCTGACACCACGAAGCCGTAATAAAGCACAACAGAAGTGACGGGGGCGTCTGAACCACACAGAGTGTCCAACAACGCACCAGTGGTCACCGACCAGATCTGACAGAAAAGGTTTATGCAGAATATTACTGTAATATTACAGTAGTAAAATATATTATGATGCATTCCAACTGTAAGTGTTTACTGCCAAGCATTTGGACAATATCCTACTGCAAGATTACAAGAAGGATTTTACTATGAGCACAATCTTTTGCTGTGAAGCTACAGGAGAGCTTTTATTTTGAAGCAGTTGCTAGCACATCACATCTCTACTCTACCATTTACATGCATTTTATCTTAGTCCGTTACTCGTATGAGTTGGTCAGCAGCTCCCGAGACGAGCAGTCGGCAGTCCGAAGACACACAGCCGGACAAAACGTTGTCGTCGTGTTGGAGGTCGAGGAACCTGTCCACAGAGTCTCGGTTGATGTTAAAGAGACTCAGAGTCCGCTCACTTCCTGCAGAAGACACAAACAGTGATCGGCTGGACCACAAGAACCTTTTCTTTCTCACTGTGATCACATGCACATTCCACTTTCAACGCAAAGTAACATGCGGAGTAAGGTTTTTATGAAATCATTTTATGAATAAATCCTGTATTATTTATTATGAACATGGATTAATCAACTACACAAACACTTTTTTTTATAGTTTAAGAAACATTGACTCGCTTTCAATAATACAGTCAGACCTGCTATTAGTATTTTTTCATCTTCAGTGACAGAAAGCAAAGAGGGAACCAGAGGAAACGGGACGGCTGTCTGCTTCTCCGTTGTGGAAATCTGCGAGCAGGACGGCAGACATCGTCATAATCAGTTTTTATTGTGTACAGCAGATTAAAAATGACTGGTGTTTTTTTTTCTATTGAATATAAAGTTAATCTGTTTGGATTGGCTTTCCCTTACAGGGTAGTTTTGGATGTGACCTACAAACAGCAGTTGAGAAAGTGTTCTGATTGTTTACTTCAGCCAAAGTACTATTCCCACAATGTAAAATGACTCTTACAAGTAAACATACCTTATTTAAGGTTGTAAATAATCAATTTAAAGTATTAAAATAAACCCTGTGACTGTTATAACATTATAAACGTATTATTACTTATGCATTATTGAAAATACTTTATTTTACTGTTGTAGTACTGGTAGAGCTCATCTTGTGCAACTGGCTTATTTAAATTATGAAGTATTCGTTTTTCCATTAAATTCCATTTGTGAAGCTGGAGCACAAAAAAAAAAATACTCTAAACCGTTTTATAATATTCTAAAATATGCCATCGTAAAAACATGTTTTTCAATTAGGGAATTCAATACAAAATATTCATTTTTATGGATGTTAAGGACCAAACTATTGTAAAACGATATTTTTACATAAAAATAAAGCAATTAATGAAATATATACCTGATGAAGAAATCCTTCTTTAGAAACCACAAACACCTTCCCACGTTTGGGTAATGTAACAGATTTCACAGGAGTTAAACTTCTCTGTGGGCTTGAGTCCGGCTGAGTCTCAACAGTTTGACTCTCATTAACAGGGTGGGAGATTCTGACCAGACCAGAGTCACCAAGACGAACCACCGCTGCGCCCAAAACTCCCAGAACCATCAAGCCGTCATCCTCATCGTCACTGCTGCTGAGGAGGAGGAGCTCAGCTCCGGTCGGCTTCCACATCTTCACCTGCAGCAGCAACAACAACGAGACCCTCTAGACCCAAAGCTGCCCACTGGTAGATCAATGTCAGCTGTGGTAAAAGAAGTAGACCTAGTAGCTGTAGCTGTAATAGTAGTGACAGTAACTGCAGTGGATAATAAAGCAGCCATACAGCTAGATGTCACTTAGTGTTGATATTGCCGTGTTTCAGTGTACCAATCAGATGTCTCGAGAGTCAGTCACTCAGCGAGCTTTAAGAATGTCTCCGTAGACTCTACAGTCCACATCTCAGTCTACATCTCAACGGTAGTCATGTTTCCTTAACTTGATTATATAGATGCATTTCAGACCCAGTTAAAAGTTCCCCACAGCTACTTGAATATCAGTACTAGCCTGGAGTCGAGTGTATATGTTGTACCGTTAGTACTTGCAGTAGTAACAGGTAGTACCTGTGTCCTGGTGTAAACACAGATCAGCTCTTCAGACAGGTGGAGGAATACTGAGGAAGGGGTGGAGTCAACTGGCACCGCCTCCTGGATGCACAGCTGCTGTTGGCCGTCTATCAGGCTCCACCTCCTCAGAGAACCGTCAGCAGCCAATGAGAAGCAGTGGGCGGCGATGCCAACCACTTTGACGGACAGAACTGCACCTACGCAGATTATTGTCGTCACCGGTAGCATTATTTGATACATGATATTCTTTAATAAACGCAGACTGACCGGTGTGTCCCAGCAGTGAGTGTACGAGCCTCTGGTCAGCGAGGCTCCAGACCGCCACCGTCCCATCTTCTGAGCCTGCAACCAGAAGCCCCGCCTCCACACTGACGTGTACACAGAGCACACCTGAAGACACAATGACACATGTCATTACATGTAGAACCTGTGATGCTACACATGTTCCACCTTACTCACTTTGATGTTTCTTCTGACCAAAGTTGTTTAATTATTTTCTATCAATTTAATTATAATGCAAACCATAATGATATAAAAATGAAGGAAAAAGAATAAATATATATATCCATTGAAAAAGTATCACTCATCAACTAGTATAGTTTTTGTATTGAAGTAAACAGACAGTGGTTGGAAACTTTAATCTACAATTCAACATACGATTGATTCTAATAATTTGTGACGTTAAAATTAAAAAAAGTATTTTTAATTTGATATGAAAACGTCCAAAAATCCAGCTCTGCTTTATCTAAGTTGACTTAGATAAACAACTCAATATTTCTGACCTCCCAGCAGTCCGGTCAGAGTGTGTTGTAGCGCCCCCCCTGGCTGCTGCAGGAAACTGCACTTAGGAATGAGGACGGGCTCGGGACACATCAGTAGGCTCTCCTCACATTGACTACACAGCTGACCAATCACAGAGGAGAAAGGCCTCGCCAAGGAGAAGAGTCTGGCCAGCAGCTCAGCGTAAAAGAGGAACGGTTCTAGAGCCAGAGAGAAAAAAAACAATGACTGTGTTTGTATCATAAAAACCCTTCATTACCTTATTGTTTAACTTGCTCCTTCCGAAAGTCACCCTTTTTGGTTTAGAAAACCTTTTGGGTCCAAAAAGCAAAATTCTAGAGGACACATTGTATATTAACACAGTGAGACAGGATAACTGACCCATGTGACCGTCCAGGAAGTCCAAACTGGATTTGATCAGGACCAGGGTGTCTCGGATGAGTCGGGTCTCAGTGCAGTCCATGTACTGAGAGCACTGGTCCAGGTCCCGGATCACACTGGACACCCCGCACACCCTCATCTTACAGTACAGCCACTCAGCACTGCCTGGAAAACAATAGCGCTGTTTCATTATAATTGATCGATTGACTGAACTGGTTTGTATAAACTTAACAACACATTTTAGAAACAATACTAAAACTTGAAATAATAAAAGACAAAACATTTTTTTAATATTCATTTCTACATTATTCAAAACACTTTCAAATCTATTCTATTTTAGGACTTAAATGAAAATAAATGAATAAATAAAATTTAAATTAAGAAGAAAACAAACCAATTCTGTAAAATAAATGATAAATAAAATAAAATATCAAAAATTAAAACATTTTATCATAGCAGTGACTGAAAAGGGATTCTTTAAATATAACTAACGCTGACATTAAATCAACCGATCACGTGGTAGCTATTGTAAACAATGTTGAAATGTAGACATGTTGGAGACAATACATCTCAATTCAATTGATTTTATTTTGTATAGCCCAAAATCACAAATGACTAATTTGCCTCAGGGGGCTTTACAGTCGGTACACATGTGACATCTTCTGTTCCGAAAAGCCTCACACAGTCCAAAAAATGGAAAACCCTTCCATGGGGAAAAAAAGGGAAGAAACCTTAGGGAGAACGTCAGAGGAGGGATCCCACTCCCGGGATGGACAGACTACAATGTGTACAGAATGAGCAATGTAAAAGATGTGTAATACATTCAACTCCTATGACAGAAATGAAATATTGTGAGTAGTAAGCCAGGCGTCCTGCACAACCACCATCAGATAGAACCACCATCCACAGAAGCCGGTGGGGATCTGCTGAAGTTCAACCCAAGTATCAAAACAGGAAAGAAAGGGGAGTTAAGTGCCTTTGCACGTGTTTGCCGGTACCAGAGGTTCTGCTTCGAGCATTTCAGAAACTGCACATCTTCCTAAATCTTACCAATGACTTCCTGTCGCAGCTCCTCCCACAGACCAGCATGCAGCAGGTGATGGGGCAGCTCCTCAAGTTTCCTGATGTTGGCCAATCCTGGAGCAAACCACAAGGGTTGAGGCGGGACCTTTGTAGTAATTCACACCATACAGCTAATCAGAATACAGCACCAACAGACAGGTGTCCAGTAATGCAGCTGAAGGACAGGTGTGTCAGGTCCTGTGAATACTATCACGTTTGGAAGCCTCTACTATGGACACATTGCTTCAAGGTGTATTTGACTCTAAAGGGAATATCATTTATCAAATAAAAATGATGCAGTGTTGAAGAATACTTTAAACTAGAGATTGAGACCATAAATCTGTTTACAAGGTTCACTGAGGGAATAAATCATTTTCTCAAAGACCATCTGTCTTGTTTATGGGTCTCTGATGGCGATTACAAACAATGCACATTCAAGACACTTTTGCAGCGGCTTCACTCTCCAGAACCGGTGGCTACTTGCTCGGTGCTGTGTACTCTGTACCTTTCTGTCAGATAGCAGCAGCGAGAGGCCCGGCAGAGCAACCGGCTTAAGTTTACCCGACCACCGACCCAGGAAGTACTCCGCCAGGATCTTGAGTTTCTGCCCGCGACGCTGTGACGTCAGATACCGAGCTGAAACTGCCTCGCACAGATGTCTACACACACAAACACACACACATTTCTCCCACATCTTATTTTTGACCTGTGTGATCATTTATTTTGGTATACAGATACATAAATATACTCCATTTAGTTTTTAATATCACCCAAATTAGTGGTAGGAAACGATAAAAATGTAATAGTAACGCGTTAACTAATATAAATATATAATTTGTGCTTTTTCTTTACCGGTTGTTGAAGGCAATGGTGGCGACTCCGCTTGTCCAGCGCTCTTCCAGCTGATCCTGGAGGTCCCGTCTGAGACGAGCCCAGAGGAGAGGAGGCAGCCGGATCAACGAGGGGGACGGAGGAAGGGAGTACCTGTACACCTCACACACGATGTCATCATCCAGGGACATGAGGTCACGCAGTTCAGCCTCCAGCAAACCTCCCCTGAGGAGTCAGAAGATGGGGTTGTTTTTGTTGTTGAGCCTTGAAATGTTCCACCTTGTGGATAATTTCATGTTAAATAGTTGCATCATCGCTTTTGTTCTCTTTTAGTACGAACACTTGTGGCTTCACGATTCAGAGTCAAACAATAACTAATATTAAGGCTTTTTCAACTTGAATCATTTTGTCTTTTTTACAAAAGTTACATAGAGAAACAAGCACCATTTTAAATGTATAAATTATAGTGTTCCAACAACCCCTTGTTGCTAATTATTTTAGATATTTTCAGGTTTTATTCAGATACATAATGTAGATTACTTATTTTCAAGGATGTTACTCTGATAACATAATAATCGAAATATTATTATTCTGGACAAAGTGGACTCACTTTAGCTTGAGGATTGAGCACTCTTTGTTTGCAGAAAGTTATTAGTTCTCACCACGAAGAAGTAGCATCACCGTTCTATCAAAAGAACTACATTCCTGCTGAATACTTTGCTCTACAAATAAACCTGTACTTTTTAACAAGCCCTACACAAATAAAGAAGTGTAGCGTTGTGGAATGGTTGCTAACTAGCACTAGCATACATTACCACCACTTACTGTCTACAGACTGTATTTAAGAAGTGGAAGTAACCCAGTGGACTGCTGTCCTAAAGCCTCCCGTTTGCCAATCTTTGTTTTTAAATTCAGTTAAATACAACACTGAATGTGACATTCAGTAAAAAACGTAATATTATAATAACGAATGACTTTAATAATTCAAATAAAATGTTTAAAAAAATGTTTTGGATGAAGCGAAAACACTGCGAAAGGGTTAACTTTGAAAGACAAAAAGAAGGACAGCACCATGGTAGCGACTTGAGGTCCATCCTACTGGAACATAATTTACTAAATGAACATCACGCTGTGATGAAGAATACTTGAAACTAGCAATTGACACCATCAATTTATGTTTACAAGGTTCATTGAGACGTGGAAGCATCCTGTCATAGACTTCTATCAGATCTGACTTATTTTTATGACCCTCGTGGACATTGATAAAAATGCAGGTTTAAGGTACTTCTGCATGGATTTGCCATTTCGAAGCCGGAGGTGGCTGCCTGGTTACACAAGGGACCTCCTCACCTTGCCAGAGTGATGTACCCTAAAGCCCCGCCCACCAGCTCCTTCCCATGTTTCTCCTCCAGCATCAAGAAGAGCCGTGACATCATTTCCTGTGTGTTGGGCCCCAGGTGCGTTGCCGTGAGAAGGGTGAAGGACGTCCAGCGTTTGGCTGCAGACAGAATCAGTGTGAGGTGCAGAGGACTGCCGGTCTGCTCGAAGCTCTGCAGCACGCCGTCGCTTTGCGCGGGGGTCAAAGTTCGCTGAGAAGCTAGCAGGTACGACTCCATCATCTGTTTTCCTTCGTCTCGAGACAAACGATCCACTTCAAAGAAACTAGCCAAACTCTTCAATTTCAACCGCATGTTAGCAAATACCTCACTGTTGGTTTCCATGGAAACTATAAGGTGGACGTTGGGTGGGAGGTCAGCGGGCATCCAGTGGAGTTTATGAGCATGATGTTGGTCCGAGAGCTGGTCCACAGCATCTAAGATGATGAGCAGAGTGTCCCCCTGGTCGGAAACTTTGGTGAGGACGTCCCAGAAGAACGGGAGCAACTCCAGGTGCGTGTTGGCTGTCGGGTGTGAGGGTGGAGCCAAACCACAAGCCAGACATATCTGAAAGCAGACGCCGCGGAGGACGTGATCGATGTCGGGTCTCTGAGGATGGCGATCGGACAGCAGCCTGATCACCACCACCACCCCGGCTTCAAAAACGCTACGCATCTCCTGCGCCACTTTACACAGCAGAGCCGTCTTCCCCATCCCAGCGTCCCCGTGCACCACCAGCGGGCTGTGGTGGACGTTGGTCGACTCCCACATGGCGCAGCAGAGCTTACCCAGGAGACCCTCCCTGCCGTGAAGACTTCTGCACAGCTTGGTGCTCATGGTGGCGTGCCGTAGAACTTCCTCAACCACCCAATCGGAGATTTCCTCCCTTTCTTCCTCAATGTTCCCCCAGAGCCTTCTCCGCCTGCCCACCACCGGTGAATTGACCACTGCTTCGATGCGGACCTTCATCTGCGAGACAAACTGCTCGCAGATGGCGTCCAGGTACTGGGCGTGCTCTTTGCGCATGGGGTCGATGCTTCCCTTGTTGAGCTCCACGCAGTGCAAGTTGAGGATCTCCTTCCGCGTTGCGTAGAGGCGGGACTTGAGAGAGGCAAGGAGTCCCTGAACCTCTTTGTCCAGAAGCCCGTCCCCTCTCAGGTCCAAGTACTTGGCAAAACGTTTGGGACCGTCCTTCCCTCTCTGGCTGGGAATCTCTCGCACGAAGAGCAGAGCCGACTGTTCGCTGCTGTCCTTCCACAAACCCTGCTCAAACTCTTGTGCCGTGACTGCGGAAAAGAAGGTAGCCACCGTCAAATTTCACAAAAACCTTTGAGACAAAGACAAGCCGCGGACGACATATCTGACCTGATGTGAAGTAGAGTTGTTTCTGCTCTTCTGTGATGTCACCGGCTGCCTCAGCATCTGTGGCGGCAGAGCGAAGAAGCTGCAGCACTTGAGTCTCTGTGAGGCGCCAAGAGAGGAGGTTTTCGTCACGCTGCGAGCCGCTCTCAGGTCGGAGGTCGCTGTAGTGGGGGAAGTGAGTTGTGATTGGCTGAAGAATGTAAGTGGGCGGGACCGCATTGTTGTCTTTTAAGAACCACTTGTTCAGCTGCTTGACGCCGTCGGGACTTTTGGAGAGTTTGGACAAAAGGACTTCAAACTGTTTCTCCGGTATGACGCGAGGAAGAGTCCGGTGGCCGTACCGGTTCCCCAGCAAAGCCTTTGGAGGCCAGACGGAGTAAAGAGAAGAGCAAAAATGAGCTAATATATAGTCCTGTATCACATGCATCTATTTCACTTGCACCCTAATAGAAACATCACTTTAAAAAAGAGCCATAGAATTAATCCGTTAAATTGGACAGAATGTTGGCTTCAATTCAATTACGCGTTTTTTGTTTTTCCAGGTCTTGTGAGGTTATTTTCCACATATTTACTGGATGTGTTGATGTAGCAGCTACAGCCACATGATAAGAGGAAATAAATGGGTACCATTTATTTCAAAGAATTGGATCAAACCACACTGTTCAAACAAACTAATCCAGCTTGTTTCTTTCCACAGAAAATGTTACGGTAACAGTAAATGTGTAAAAAGGGAGACTCACAATGAAAGCTGGACCGGCTGAAATCCTTTGACAGCTCTTGATCTCCTGCAGGAAGATCTCGCAGACCTCATGGTCTCCGAAAGAGTCACTTCGAATCCCCCAACACAGATCCACCACCTGAACAGGAAGTGACCTCGCTGATCAACGAGCAGGTACCGCACGCACAGTACAGCACTTTATACATCATATTATCAGTTGCTGGATTCATTTGTTCTTCGGGCTTGAATATTTACATTCCATAACTGACCTCAAACACCATCCCCAGACTGCGACAGAAAGCAAGGACCTCTGGGTAAGCTTTCTCCAGCAGGGCTTTCCTCTCGCTGCTCATATCTGACCGGAGGAGATAACAAGCTTCAAGCTAAATCATTAGGTAGTGATTTTGATACACTGTTCTTCATAATAGAAATTTGCAAAAATATGTCAAATATTTCTTTTACTTGTCTTGATTACAAAAAATCTCATGGTAATAATGAGCTCTTTTCTGATAAGATACTTTCTTAAAATGTCATGCTAGTAGCTCATAATTACTTGAAACATGAAATGTCTTTCTTAGTTAAATACATTGTGCCAAGTGTATCACCTTTTTGTATCTCTTTAGCTTTCTGTCTCATTCTCATTCAACAGTCTACTACTACAAAAGTGTACAAATGTTAGTTCTCGTCCGCTCTGCAGATTGATACATTTACGAGCACAAACCTTTATTTTCACACAGTTTTAAGAGGCATGGTGCCACAAAATCAGCGCAGATGTTTTACCTTTATCAAAGCAGGAAAAGCAACGGTGAAAAGCATAGGTGTCCATAACTATAATAATAACAACAACATGTGGTGCACAATAGCAGAAAGCCCTGGAACGGGCTCACCTGTGTAGAACACAGCCATGGGTGGTATTAGTGAACATAAACAGTGACCTGACCGGTGAAGGTGGAGCTGACGAACACTCGGATCATGTTGGAGCCGTTCTCCGTCCTCTGAGCTCCATCTATTCGTCCTGTCAGGACGTCCTGCAGGCTGACGTCTCCTCCTCCTCCTCCTCCTCCTGCTGCTGCTGGATGCTCTGCCATGGTTTTAGTCTTTCCTTCTTCTCCTCCTGACTTATCAAGACGTCTGGTCTCCCCCTCCTCTGCTCAGCCGCTCTTCAGCCCGTTTTGTTTCCCTCAGAGAATTTTCTCCACGACAACCGGTTCTCCCACCTGAGCGGTAGTTTCACCTGCAGCGGGTGCGACTGTAGTCAGTTCTACTCGCAGGTTTCTAATGAAGAGATAAGACTGGAACATTGTTTTATCATCGCTGCTGGTATTCATAGCATGCAGACCAAAGTAATACGACGATGTAGAAATGTTCTATAACAAGTCCTGAATTGAAAATGTTCTCATGTACAGTTATCATTAAATCAATTTATTAAGCACATGTGTACAAAATGATCTTCAATTTAAATTTTGAATTAAACTTTTCTTGTTATATCTTGTTTGGTTAATAGGTTGGTAAAGACAGGTGCAGGAATGACCAATGGGATTTTTCGAAAAGGTCTTGGTGATGAACACCGTTTTGATTATTCTTTTAAGAATTGATATAATAACTAGAAGTAAAAATCCTGAGGCTTGGCTATAAAGGAACTATATTGTTTTTACACTGATGATCTGTCCTACCACTGTAAATGACCTGAATTGGCTTTATCTTTAACCAGACTATTTCAAATCATCTAATCAACTGTATTACAGTTCATACTGCGTTTTCATTGAGCTGTAACTAATAATGATGTTGGGTTTGCAGAGACGTTGTCAGTTTGCTAGTTTGTGTAAGCTTATGGGTCTTGGCGTCTTGCTTACACTTGCTTCTCTCAATGCTAAGCTAGGTCCTTTATCCCAGCAGTCAGAATTTTTAGTGAACACCTTTTAAATATAGTTTTCAGATTTGAATGTCTTTCTGTTAATCATGTACATACAGTACATCCGGAAAGTATTCACAGCGCTTCACTTTTTCCACATTTTGTTATGTTACAGCCTTATTCCAAAATGGATTAAACTCAATATTTTCCTCAAAAAAAAAAAAGAACGAAAACCTCACATGTACATAAGCATTCACAGCCTTTGCTCAATACTCAATAATTGAAGCACCTTTGGCAGCAATTACAGCCTCAAGTCTTCTTGGGTGTGATTCCAGCGTGGCAAACCTATTTCTGGGCAGTTTCTCCCATTCTTCTTTGCAGAACCTCTCAAGTTCCATCAGGTTGGATGGGGAGCGACGGTGCACAGCCATTTTCAGATCTCTCCAGAGATGTTCAATCGGGTTCAAGTCAGGGCTCTGGCTGGGCCACTCAAGGACATTCACAGAGTTGTGCCGAAGCCACTCCTTTGTTATCTTGGCTGTGTGCTTCGGGTCGTTGTCCTGTTGGAAGAGGAACGTTGCCCCAGTCTGAGGTCCAGAGCGCTTTGGAGCATGTTTTCATCGAGGATGTCGCTGTACATTGCTGCATTCATCTTTCCTTCAATCCTGACTCGTCTCCCAGTTCCTCCCGCTGAAAAACATCCCCACAGCATGATGCTGCCTCCACCATGCTTCACTGTAGGGATGGTATTGGCCAGGTGATGACCAGTGCCTGGTTTCCTCCAGACATGTAACTCGGCATTCAGGCCGAAGAGCTCAATCTTTGTTTCATCAGACCAGAGAATTTTGTTTCTCATGGTCTGAGAGTCCTTCAGGCGGGCTGTCATGTGCTTTTTACTGAGGAGTGGCTTCCGTCTGGCCACCAAACAGGCCTGACTTGTGGAGTGCTGCAGAGATGGTTGTCCTTCTGGAAGGTTCTCCTCTCTTCATAGAACAACGCTGGAGCTCTGTCAGAGTGACCATCGGGTTCCTGGTCACCTCCCTGACTAAGGCCCTTCTCCCCCGATCGCTCAGTCTGGCTGGGCGGCCAACTCTAGGAAGAGTCCTGGTGGTTCCAAACTTCTTCCATTTCCGGATGATGGAGGCCACTGTGCTCATTGGGACTTTCAATGCTGCAGAAATCTTTCTGTACCCTTCGCCAGATACAATTCTGCCTCGATACAATTTTGTCTCGGAGGTCTACAGATAATTCCTTGGACTTCATGGCTTGGTTTATGCTCTGATATGCACTGTCAACTGTGATACCTTATATAGACAGGTGTGTGCCTTTCTCAATCATGTCCAATCAACTGAATTTAGCACAGGTGGACTCCAATCAAGTTGTAGAAACATCTCAAGGATGATCAGTGGAAACAGGAAGCACCTGAGCTAAATTTTGAGAGTCATGGCAAAGGCTGTGAATACATATGTACATGTTATTTTTTTCGTTCTTTATTTTTAACAGATTTGCAAAAATTTGCAAAAAACATTTTTCACTTTGTCATTATGGGTTGTTGTGTGTAGAATGTTGAGGAAAATAATGAATTTAATCCATTTTGGAATAAGGCTGTAACATAACAAAATGTGGGAAAAGTGAAGCGCTGTGAATACTTTCCGGATGCACTGTATATAGCATTTTTTCTTTTCTTGTTGTCACGTCCTTTGTGTCTGTGGACTGGTTTTGGGAGCAAACGAGTTTCCTCTCTGCAGATTAATTCTAATCAAATCTAAAAACATCAGGGGTCTCTCTTTAAACCTCACTGGATTCACAGAAACACACTGTAAACTTTAAAAGAAACGAATCCCATCTGTTAACTAGATGTAAAGCAATGCAGGTGAAATTGTAAAAGAAAGATCCTCAGAGGGTTAATAAACGTCTCTCGCGCTGTTTTCTGTGGATTCAGTATCTTTAAACGACGCACATTGTATCAGCTCGGTTCACCGCGATCCGTGTGCTGGGAACGTAGGAGTCTCGGCCCCCAGGGGGGCCGCCGCCAACAGCCTGCAGCTCACTGCCAATTACGCTGCAGAGAGCGTCAGGGGGGTTGAAGGTAATGAAGATAACAAAGCTACTGTAGAGCGGTCGGACGTTTGCTGCACACTTACAAACCTCTGACATCATGGGACACAGTTCTAAATACTAAAACCTTCTTTAGTTCTTGTATTTTAAATGACACTTTCTTAAATGTAATGTGTTATAGTCCAAGAATTCCTTAAAAATATATGATGTATCATGTTTGGCGGTAGTTAACAGGTTACCTCTGCAAAACAGTTCTATTTTTTAATTGGATTTTGGAATATTGCAGGAAATAACTGGTATACACAAGTTATACCCCCACGTTTTCTTCAGCGAACAAACACCATGTAATGATTCAAAGCGTGTGAATGCTCAGCAGAGTGAACGAACGCGGCAAATATTAAATATGAACACAACACGGCGGTCAAAGCAAACTAGCCGGCAAAACATTTTAAAGTCCCACTGCGATACTTCTTTGCAACTGACTTTTAAAGACACCGTCAAAATTCACAAGAGGGGTATTTACTCATTTATCTGATATTGTTGACCAAACCCCTTATTTCTAGAACGTAACTGAAAAACACACTGAAATAAAGGAACTATTCCTGCTTCACTGTATTCAGGGGTTCCATGCAAAGTCCCCTCAAAAACCCCAACTATGGCAAATGTCAAATAAAATACATAAACCTTCTCAAGTTCTCATTTGTATTAATGCAATAATGATTATGCACACTTTAAATATTCACTCATTCCATTTAATTCACAATGTGGGTTTTCCACTGTGAGAATGTCAGTTTAGTTTCTTATTATTCACACAGCTAAAATATCACAATTAGAGCAGCTTCACGGACAGATTACGGTTTGATGAATGTTGTCTTGAATGGCCGGTTAGTAGAAAGGTGTGCATGGCAAATATGAATTGCATATGTGTTATATAAAAAATAACATAGACAATCTTTTAAAACGGAACGATTATTTGATTTAGAATTGTTTGCATATTTGCTCTTGTTCCCTTTAGGCCATAACAGTGTGCAGCAGATTGAGTTGTTTTTGAAGATGTTGACGGTTTGTTCTGGAGTTTTACCTTCGGGCCGTCTTCTTTTGTTTTTTAGGGTGAGCTGTCGAGCTGCAGCTCTCTGAGGACATTACATCAGCCCTGGTCCCCTGCTGATGCCTCGTGCCTCACATCCCTCCATGGACGCTCTGAAGCTCTTCTCCTTCACATAGTGGGAGCAGGAAATCCTTATTTGGGCAAAGAGGGCTCCTTCAAAAGACACACACAGCAGCGACCCAAACAAGTATTTGGGGGGGGGGGGGGGGGGCGGGTTGCATGGCCGACATAGTCTCTTCAAAAGAAAAAATCAGCATTAGGAAAAACATTCTTCATCAACTCTGAGGTGTTCAGGCACCAAGCGCCATGATGAAACACCGACTCCACCTCTTCTTGTCCCACGGGGGTCGTGCCCTCAGGTCAGCTGTCACCTGCAACTGCTGAATGAAGGATGGAGCCGGGTCTCTGTGAAGACCGCCAACACACATCGGGCAGCCAGCAGTAGGCTGCGTATTGGAGTACCCCTAGCGCCTAGCTGGGTTAGCTTAGCTTCCACCTCCGCTCTCCTGTTTGGTGGTCCATACAATCAGGTCCTGAACCGGTTTGGCGTTGGAGTCCACCGACAGAAGTGTTTGGCCTTGCACACGTGAGTGACATGTCTGGATGTAGGTAGGGATCAGTAGACCTCTCCCTTAATGGCATGATGCCTTTAGTGGAGGACTGTATATTGCACACAGGTATAAATCAACCTACAGTATAATAAGTTTTCCCTCATTCGACAAGTCATAATCAACCCTGAAAAAATAGGAAAATTCAACTGAAAAGTAAGAACCTTTTTTGTGCATCTTTGGTCCCCTTGTTGAGACATTCGTGCAGTGAATAGAAGGATGATTTCTCAGAGTGTCGTCTGCTGGAGATGGTCGTGGCATCTTCTGTCGCCTCAGAAAAATGCTTGGTATGCAAACACAGCACCACTTTGCCCTTTTCCCCTCATTTTAAGACGTGTATTCAACCAATGCTATAAATATGCACATTAGAATTCTCCAACCTTGCAACTACAGTTTGGTGATCCATTTGGCAGGCGATACGAATATTATAATTCATATATTATGACACGTCTGAGCTTATGTCAGAAATACAAAAAACGGACTGGAGGATCAGCTCCTGACATTTTATTTAACCGGTTCTTTCCAGCTTGTGAATTAGATTTTTTGAGGGGAGGCCGGTCACAAAGATTTTGTCACAAAATGCTCCGACACAGAAGACAACTTCACTTCAAACCATTGTTTATTTCCGCAAATTCTTTTTCCTCATTGGGTAACGTGATTATTCTTTTTTCTTCTTCTAGAAAACAGTCCTTTGTCACTGC